CCTTCCTTCCTTCCTTCCTTCCTTCCTTCCTTCCTTCCTTCCTTCCTCCCGAAACTGTACAGATTCTCTTCTCCAGCTACGGGTCGGACTAAAGACCTCCCAGCTCCAACAGCTGCGACGCTGCGATGTCTTTGAAAGAAAAAAAAGAAAACGGGACCGGGCGCCTAAAAGGTCATAAAGCCCGCGGCGGAGGGAAAGCCGGGGTGAAGGGGCTGGCCCTTCCTCCGAGCCCCGCAGCCCCCAGCCCCCCTTGACGCGTCTCCTCCGAAGCCCAGCCAAGCCTTCCCCTTTCCCCCCCCCCCGGGGGAAACCTTAGGATGGAGAGGGGCGAGATCCTACCCGTTCTCGCGGATCCCGTCGGTCAGGTTGGCCCAAGCGACGGCGGCCGGTGCCCAGCCTTGGACGACTTTCAGTTCCGCCGACACCGGGTCCAGCAGCACCGAGCAGCCGCGCCTGGGTTGCAACCCACCCGCCTCGGGGAAGCGCCGGGGAGAAAAAGAGGCGGAGAGCGCCCGCCGGAGCAGCAGAAGCGGCAGGAGGATTCGCCACGAGAGCCCGAGCGCCATGGCCGGTCCGTCCGTCCCTCCGTCCGAGAGCGGTGCCTTCCTCCTCCCCGGGTGAGGGACACGAAGGCCAAGCCGGCTGGCGTAGGCTCTGATGCAGCCGGAGGAGGAGGAGTCGTCCCACTCCCCCCTCCGCCCGCCCGCCCGCCCGCCGGGCAACCCGAGCTGGCCTCCAGCCGTGCGCTTCCACGCACCGCCCCGCGAGGGAGCCCCGAGCTCAGGGGAAGCCTTGCCGGGCGAAATCGGAGGGTTGCGGAGCGAAACTTGCAAGCGTATAGATTTCAGCATAGAGCTGGAAGGGACCTTGGAGGTCTTCTAGTCCAGCCCCTTTGCTAAGACCCTTTCAGACAAGGGTTCTTTCCAGTTCTCTTCTTCAAAACCTCCAGGAAAGGAGCCACCTACAGCTTCTGGTGGCAAGCCGTTCCAGGGGTGAATTGTCCTCCCTTTGAGGAAGTTGCTCCTTAAATGCCAGGCTGCTTCTCTCCTTGGGATAGTTTCCATCCGTTTGCTTCTTGTCTGGCCTTCTGGGGCTCTGGAGAATAGGTTGACCCCCCGCCCCCGGGGCAGCCCCTCAAATATTAAAATACTACTATCGTTTCCCCCTCCTCCAGTCCTTTTCTCTCTAGACTAACCAGAGGTGGGATTCAGCCGGTTCTGACCAGTTCTGGAGAACCCGGTAGAGGAAATGTTGAGTAGTTTGGAGAACTGGCACCAAGGACCCCAGTTCAACCCTGAGCTACAAAGGTTCTGGTTTATTTATTCTGGTTTGTTGATTTATTTCAATTGAATTGAATTGAATTGAATATTTAATTTTGTCAAAAGCTTACAATACAATAGAAACAAGAATAAACCTAAGTTTATATACGAGAAATAGGAACTAATAGTTAGGGACGGTAGGCACGGTTGTGCGCTTATGCACGCCCCCGCCTTACCGACCTCTTAAGAATGGGGTGAGGTCAATAGAGGTTAGTTTGAGGGTAAAGGAGTGGGGGGTTTGAGCAGGTGACAACCGAATCAAGTTGTGAGTTCCAGACATTGACCGCTCTGTGGCTGAAATCATACTTTATTTGTATTTATTTGTTCGTATTTGTCTTGAAGGTTTGGATGGGAGACCAAGTGGAGATCCCATAGCTATAACCAGTTGCAGAAAGAAAAAAAAACTTCCCCCAAAGAAGGCAACTCCACTCTTCCTTAATATTTCTGCCAAGAAAACCACCTTACGCGGCATCCCAGGGTCAGGCGAACACAATTCACAATGTTTTGGACAATGTTTTCTTCCAGTGTCCGGCAAAAGAAAAAAAAATGCTCATCGTGAACAAGGAGTTCAGTTCATGATTGCCATATTCGTTTAACAAGTCTGTCCCCTCACCAAAAAAATTTCTTAAAATCAGGTTGGTCACATTATTTAGGCTTAGCGGTTGGTGTGACTTATGCCTGTCATTCTGGGCTCAGTGATGGCTGGAGGACCGCCTACTGCTGTGAATTAAGGCTGTCACTAAACAAGGACCACTTGTTTGGGGCTGAAGGTTTCAGACTTTGTTCTGTTTCAGCAAAAAGAGAGAAAACAGTGGTTTTTTGTTTTTTTTTCCCTGACTATACAGTAAGGGACAGTTGGGCGTGAACTCAGTGCCCGGGTGTCTCAGTTCAGTGGCTCCCTTGACCCGGAGCATGTGATCCTAAAAAAAGCAATTAAATCAGATCCAACACTGACCCTTTAAGCTCTTAAGGCTTTTATATCCCTGGCCAGGTAACATTGTGGTGTCTGCCCGAAGAGCTTTTATCCTAGAGAGAGAGAGAGAGAGAGAGAAGGACAGAGAGCAAAAAACAAAATACGGTGTTGGAAGGGACCTTGGAGGTCTTCTAGTCCAACCCGCCCCCTGCTTGAGCCATTCCAGACAAAGGGCTGTCCGGTCTCTTCTTCAAAACCTCCAGGGACGGAGCAGACAATTCTGGAGTCAAGAGGCTCCACTGGTTAACTGTTCTTCTCATGGTCTACATTCTAAGTTGGATCTGAGTCAGAAGGGACCTTGGAGGCTTTCTAGTCCAACCCCTGCTCAAGCAGGAAACATTTTTGACAAATGGTTGGTTGTCCAATCTCTTCCAGAAAACCTCCAATGATGGAGCCCCCTCAATGTCTGGAGGCAAGGTGAATTGTTTTTATTATCAGGAAATTTCTCCTTAGTTCTAGGTTGGATCTCTCTTTTTTTATCTCTCTTTTTATCATCCTCCAACCATCGCTTCTTCTTGCTTTGGAGAGTGACAGGCCCTCAAATATTGGAAGACTGTTATCATATCACCCCTAGCAGAGGTGGGTACTCAGCCAGTTCTGACCAGCTCCGGAAAACCGGTAGCGGAAATTTTGAGTAGTTTGGAGAAACGGCCAATGACGCCTCTTGACTGGCCCCGCCAACCCCATCTCTTCTCTGCCTCCCATTGAGTCCCAGCTGGGGAAAGGGGAAAAGAATAGAATAGAGGAGGGAATAGAATAAGAATAAGAATAGAATAAGAATAGAATAGAATAGAATAGAATAGAATAGAATAGAATAGAATAGAAAATATGTAATGGGATGAGATGGGAAGGGTTGGGAAGAGTTGGGTTGGGTTAGGTTGGGTTGGTGTTGGGATGGAATGGAATGGAATGGAATGGAATGGAATAGAATAGAATAGAAAATATGTAATGGGATGGGATGGGAAGGGTTGGGAAGAGTTGGGTTGGGTTAGGTTGGGTTGGTGTTGGGATGGAATGGAATAGAATAGAATAGAATAGAATAGAATAGAATAGAATAGAATAGAATAGAATAGAATAGAATAGTGGGATGGGATGGGCCATAAGGAGTGATAGAAGATTAATAGTAATAGTAGTGCAGACTTTGCAAATAATTGGACCATATGGAGGGAATTATTTATTTAGCAGAGGGTGGAAAAACCGTCCTTGTGTCTAGTTGCTCTGGTGTGCAGGGCTCTGTAGCCTCGTTTTGAGGGAAGGAGTTGAACCAGTTTGTGTCCAGGATGGGAGGGGTCTGTAAATCTGGATCTCATTTTTGTTTTTTGTGTTTTTGTTTTATTAAAAGCGTTTGGAAGAGGCGGGGGGACCTTCGAAGAGTCAAACCAGTTCATCGCCTCCTTCCCCCGACTTCGCTCGCCTGGCTGAACTCCTTCGCCTTATCTAGCCAGCCAGCCGGCGGCCCCCCCACCCCATCCCACCCCCCTTTTCCCTGGGATGACGCGAGGTCAGAGGGGGCTGCTGGCTTCGGCAATGGCAACCAGGCAGGGAAAGGGCCGTGAGAGAACCGGCCTTCCAGGAGCGCATCCCGGCTTGCAGCCTCTCTCTCGCAAAGCCAAAGGGAGGCGCGTGGGAGCCATCGCGTGTGCGTGGGAGCGGGGAAGCGAAGCGGGAGCTCCGAGCCTTTGCTCGTCAAAGCAGCCGCCGGGGCCTTGTCTCTTTAAGCCCGCAGCCGGGGCGGTGACGAGAAGGCGGGCTTGTGTGGGCTCGTCTGTCCCAGGCTCTAGAAAAGAGGAGCGGAGGGTGCAAGGTTCAAGTCCCAGGTGGCGCGAGGTTCCAGTTCGGCTGCTGCTGCTGCTGCTGCGCACGCCAGGTGAGTCGGGGCAGGTGCGGCTTGGCCGCCGGCAGGTATAAGAGAAGAAGGCGGAGGCGATTCCCCCCACCCTCCCCCCTGGATTGGGGCCTCCGGACCGGGAACGAAAGAAGGAAGAGAGAGAGAAAGAAAGAAAGAAAGAAAAGGGGAGGCTCCGCTGGAAGGAAAAAAAAAAAGGTTGTTTACAGGCTTCGCGTTCCCGGGTGGCGTGATGGGCCGATCGTGAGGACGGGGAACGCGTGTTGGGGGGGGTTGGGTTCCCCCCCTCGCGTGGAGGCTTCTCTGCGCGCTTTTCGGCGGAGGGCTGGAGGAGCGGAGTTCAAATCCCGACCGTACCCCAGGGCTACACGTGTCCTCCGACCTCACCCTGTCAAACCTGTATTTGGGAGGTCAGTGTCCTTTTAAGCCGAATTGGCAGGGCTCCCTTCCAAGCAAGGAGGTGGGTTGAATCCTGGTGGACCCGGTTCTTAGGCTGCCATAAACAGAAGGATAGAATCGAGATCAGGTAGTTAATACCCCTTGGTGATAAGGCCACGCTTGGAAATACTGCATCCAGTTTTGGTTGTTGCAATGTTAAAAAAAATGACGTGGAGACTCGAGAAAGAGTGCAGAGAAGAGCAACAAAGATGATTAGGGGACTGGAGGCTAAAACATATAAAGAAAGGTTGCAGGAACTGGGTATGTCTATTTTGATGAAAAGAAGGACCAGGAAAGACATGATAGCAGTCTTCCAATATCTCAGGGGCTGCCCCAAAGAAGAGGAAGCCAAGCTATTCCCCAAAGCACCTGAAGGCAGGACAAGAAGCAACGGATGGAAACTAACCAAGGAGAGAAGCAACCTAGAACTAAGGAGAAATTTTCTGACAGTGAGAACAATTCATCAGTGGAACAACTTGCCTCCAGAATAGAATGAAATGGAATGGAGTAGAATAGAATGGAATAAAAATAAGAATAGAATTGGATTCTTTATTGGCCAAGTGTGATTGGACACGCAAGGAATTTGTCTTTGGTGCAAATGCTCTTGGTGTACATAAAAGAAAAGATACATTTGTCAAGAGTCAAGAATCATCAGCTACAACACTTAATAATAGTCATAGAGTACAAATAAGCCATCAAATCATACTAGGAAACAGTCCGTATAAACCGTAAGGATACAAGCGACAAAGTCACAGTCATACAGTCCCAAGTGGGATGGGATGGGCCATAAGAAGTGATGAGAAGATTAATAGCAATAGTAGTGCAGACTTTGTAAACAGTTGGACAGTGTGGAGGGAAGTTGCAAACGCTCCAACCCTGGAAGTTTTTAAGAAGAGATTGGACGATCATTTGTCTGAAATGATCTAGGGTTTCCTGCTTCAGCAGCGGAGTTGGGCTTGAGACCGCTAAGATCCTTTCCAACTTTGTTATTCTATTCTAAATTTGCTGGATGACTTGGGGGCCAGGGCAACCTGTTGCTTGGCCTACCTTAAAGGTTGTGAGGATGAAACGAGAAAGTAGCTGACTAGGTGGAGCCCGAAGGACATGATCGAAGGTCTCGGGCATTCATGTCACCTTGGAATCCCTTAAACAGGTGAAGTATCCCCTCAGCCTAAGAATTCAGGTAGTCTTTGACTTACAATGGTTCGTTTAGGGACCCTTTGAAGTTCCAACGGTACTGAAAGAAAGGGACTTGTGACCATTTTTTTTCACTTATGACCGTTGCAGCATTTCCTGGGGTCATGTAATCAACATTCAGATGCTTGGCAACTGACTTGTATTTATGACGGTTGGGTTTTAGTGGGCAAATATTTGTTTTCTGTTTATATCTCCCCGTTCTTATTTTGTAAGCAACACAAAGTGGCGAACATACCTAATGCACTTTCCTCCTCCTAGTTTCCCTAACACTACCACAACAACCCTGTGAAGTGCTAAGGGCCCCCAAAGTCACCCAGCTGGCATTCATGCCTAGGACGGAACTAGAATCCACAGCCTCCTGGTTTTTAGACTGGGGTTTTTACTAGGAGAATAAACTGGCCTACTTTGTGTAAACTTACTTGTAAGAGTCCCTTTGGTCTAGTGGTTAGGCCACCAGGCTAGAAAGCAAGAGGTGTTGAGTTCAAGTCCTGCTTGAGCCATGAAAATCACCTGGTTGATGTTTGGCCAGTCCTCCTCTCTCAGCCCAATCCCCCCCCACAACAGGTTGTTATTATGGGGTATAAATAGGAGGAGGAAGGTATGTTGATATGTTCGCCACCCTTACTTGTAAAAATAATAAAGGCAGGTTATAAATAAATAAAGTCCACTGTATAAGCTTGGCATATATTTTGTGGATATATAAGCTCCCCTACTCAGAAAGTAACCCAACCCAGCCCCTACATACTTTAGCTGTCTTTAGCTGCCTTTAGACTTTGCTTCTTAATAGAATTATAGCCCCTGAATCGAATTCTAAACCCCTCTAGAGTCAATTAAACTAATGGCCCGCTTTGCATTTCATTTTTGCACTCTGCAAGTGTATTGGATAGTTTGTCATTGTCAGATTCCCCATGCCTTGGGCCCATGGAAGGACATTATTTAGGAATCAGAAAATTTCCACCAGCAGTCCCAGTGGTGGGAATGACCTGGGGTGGGATATAGATCGAAGCCCGACTGGATTCAATAGTTAGATCTCTGGATTCATGAGTAACCAGGCAAAAGATTCTGGATTCCCTTTGATTTAGAGCTTTTGAAAGCTGTTGCCTTTAAGAATTGTGTAAAAGGAAAAGAGGACGAGATAGATTTATGAATAAACTTCAGGGTAACTGATATGACACCTTTGTTGGCTGTTCCTGTTTTAAAACAGGAATTAACCAGGAAATATTGCTTGATTAATATCCAGAAAGCCAGAGAAACGTTCTCATTTCTTCTGAGGCTGTTATTCAGAACGTGTCTGGCTGGTTTAGCAAGCAGCTTGCAATAATGATTCACCTAAAAAAAAAAAAAAAATTATTGGGATCTTCCAAAGGAGGTGAAAGTGAAGAAATTCCTCGAGGCAATTTACTGTTTTTATATCAGCAAAACAAGGGCTGCGTTAAATAATTACTTGCAAGGTTGTTTTTCTTGCAACCCATTCCAGTTTGGTGCAGTTTTCTAACTAACAACAGACAGAAAATAGGCTCAGGATTTGCGGAATGTGGAAAAAGTTTTGCAGGTTTCAAGGAGAGACTCGTAATGTGGCAGACTAAAAAGGTAAAATTTTTCTCTGTCAGGGCATGGCGTTCATATTTTTGGGCCGAGGGAATCTGTGATCCTAAGACAATTCCCCTGGTCGCATGGCCAGTGTGGCTATATGCCAGAGGCTCATGGAATGCTATTACCTTCCCACTGAAGTGGTACCTATTTATCTACTCACAGTTGCATGCTTTTGAACTGCTAAGTGGGCAGGAGCTGAGCTGGAGCAAGTAACAGGAGCTCACCCCATTGTGTGGAGCTCGGGTCTCAAACCCGGTCTACCAGCCCTCCACCTGACAAGCCCAGCAGTCTTTAACCACTGAGCCATCATGCCTCGTGTAATGTTAGCAGCAGACTAAGGCCCGCCAATTTCATGCCTTCCGTATGTGTGAATGTTGGGACTACAACTCCCAGAATTCTTGTTGACTGAGCTGGTTGTGGTCCCAGGACACATGGCAAAAAGTTTGAGACTAAAGACTTGGCTAAGGAATTCTGGGAGTTGAAGTTGCCACTCTTAAACAATAACCCAAGGGCTCACAGGTTGTCTAGTATCAATCATACCTACTGCATATGGGAAGGAAAAATTTAATCCGCACCCACTCACCTTTTACTTTATAAGATTTTTTTACCCATTTTTTTTTTCCAGGGATATAGGAGCACCGGGGTGGCTGTGAGAGGCTCCAACAGATCTCCAGGAAAATCAGAGATCTCTGTCCAGAAAAATGCAGTGCTAGGAACCGCTAAGATCCCGTGCAAAACCTTCAAACTTACCAGGCCTCCGATCAAGGATCCACGATTGAAGAAGACAAAGGCCACTCAAAGGGGTGAGAAGGAACTTTCTAGAACAAATTTTACACCTCCGTTGCAATGTATATGGGTAGTCCTTCGCTTACACCCATCCGTTTAGTAACAGTGTGAATGTTGGCCCCGAACAACACTGGGAAAAGTGACTTATGTCTGTTTTCACACAACCAAGTCCCGTTGCCTTCTGAAAAAGCACCTTTGGGACAGTGGTGGGATTCCAAAAAATTTACTACCGGTTCTGTGGGCGTGGCTTAGTGGGCGTGGCAGGGGAAGGATACTGTAAAATCTCCATTCCCTCCCCACCCCACTCACCTGCTTTCCAGCTCCGTTCTCCTGTGCAGGGCAACCAAAGGAGACCCAGCCAATCAGCTGGGACTTGGGAGGTGGAGAATAGATGGGGGTGGGGCCAGTCAGAGGCGGGATTGGCCGGTTCTCCGAACTACCCAAAATTTCTGCTACCAGTCCTACAGAACCGGTCAGAACCTGCTGAATCCTCTGCTTGGGATAACCGTGACCTGGATTGACTGTGTATTTTTATTATTATATTTTAATCGATTGCATTTTCATGTCCTTTTTTTTTAATGGGTTGCCTTTTACGTTTCCACCAGCCTGAACTTCCTTTGGCTTCCACGATTAATCCAGGGAATGACTGGATTGTGGATGTTGTGGATGTTTTAACGCTGGAGGTTTTTAAGAAAAGATTGGACAACCGTCTGTCTGAAATGGTTTAGGGTTTCCTGCCAGAGCAGAGGGTTGGACTAGAAGACCTCCAAGGTCCCGTCCAACTCCGTTATTCTACATCCTGCTTGATTCTCTCTTTTCCTCCTACAGAGTGGGTGTCGTCGTAACTTCTTCCCCAACTTTCTGCTGAGTTCACTTCTCCATTTCCCTCAACGGCTGGAGTTTGCGAAACTGGCTGGTGGTTGGACTTTTTCCCGCTGCCGCCTCTTTTGATCTCGCCACGCCCGATGCCGTGATGTGCGATCCTGGCCCCTAGACGGCGGTCTCAAGGAATGATGAGGCAAATTTCTTGGCTGGGCCTTATGCAAACTCTCTGGGTCCTATGTGCGGCCTTCCTGCTGGTCGGGGGGACGGATGCGGTAGGGCCTTCCGCTGGACGATGGAACGCCAAGCTCCCAGCATCCTTCTCTGCAGATGGTCATGAGCGAATTTCTCGAACCCAGAGCTCAAACATGGACGTAAGTTAGAAATATTGCTTCTCTTCAGTGGTGGGATTCAAAAAAATTTTTTACTACCAGTTTGTGGGCGTGGCTTGGTGGGCGTGGTGTGGCGTGGTGGGCATGGCAGGGGAAGGATACTGCAAAATCCCCATTCCTTCCCCATTCCTGGGGGAAAAATGACTGCAAAATCCCCCTTCCCTCCCCATCCCACTAACCTGCTTTCCAGCTCCGTTCTCCTGTGCAGGGCAACCAAGGAAGACCCAGCTGATCAGCTGTGGGCGTGGCTTGGCGGGCGTGGCAGGGGAAGGATACTGCAAAATCCGCATTCCCTCCCCACTCCTGGGGGAAAAATGACTGCAAAATCCTCATTCCCTTCCCCATCCCACTAACCTGCTTTCCAGCTCCGTTCTCCTGTGCAGGGCAACCAAAGAAGACCCAGCCGATCAGCTGTGGGCGTGGCTTGGCGGGCGTGGCAGGGGAAGGATACTGCAAAATCCGCATTCCCTCCCCACTCCTGGGGGAAAAATATACTGCAAAATCCTCATTCCCTTCCCCATCCCACTAACCTGCTTTCCAGCTCCGTTCTCCTGTGCAGGGCAACCAAAGGAGACCCAGCCAATCAGCTGGGACTCAATGGGAGGCGGAGAAGAGATGGGGGCGGGGCAAGTCAGAGGTGGGATTGGCCAGTTCTCCGAACTACTCAAAATTTCCGCTACCGGTTCTGGAGAACGGGTCCGAACTGGCTGAATCCCACCTCTGGACCAAACCCTATGCCTCTTTACAAACTCCATGAGAAAGATTTGGAGTTGATCGTGTAGTTGTGGCCCCCCAGCCCTTTTCTAGAATATCCGGATGTGCCTCATAATTTATCGCCTTGATTTTCTCGACTGTAACCGGCTTGTTCCGGGATAATCAGGAAGGACTTCTTGGTCCTACAACTTGAATGGCGCTTAGAAGCTTCAGGTGGTGTAGAATCTAGTCCCCCGCTTCATAATAGGTGGCATGACCTATGTTGGAGATGCAACTACTAGTCTCTCTCCTGACCTCTTCTGGGAATCATTGGTGAGGAAGGATCCGCGTGCAGGAGAGGTCAGATGTGGGCCGGCTTTACCAGTTGACCGTTATCGATGGTCCTCACGGATCCTTCCTTTCACCTTCAGAGTGTTGAGAGAGAAGTGGTGCGGTGGCCTAGAGGTGACGCTCTCATCTCACACTCAGGAAGGAGCTGTGAGTTCGATCCTGGGTAGAGGCTCTCTCTCTCTCTCTCTCACTCACTCAGGAAGAAGCTGTGAGTTTGATCCTGGGTAGAGGCGCTCTCTCTCTCTCTCTCTCTCTCTCCCTCCCTCCCTCCCTCTCTCTCTCTCTCTCTCTCTCTCTCTCTCCACAATGAGAATATATCTGATGAACAAAACTCCACATTGGCAACAGGGAAGGGCATCCAGCCAGTAAACATTTGGCTGCTTTCAGTTGCCCAGACTCCGCCCCTCAAGGGATTATGGAGTCATGAAAAGAAGATGAGCCGAGGATTGAGAGACTGGCTGGGTTTCAAAAAAGACAAGGACCAGCAGAAGATCACATGCTTTTGACTCCTAACCTTGACTTCATTTTGCCAAGAACAAAATACTTTGTGTGTCACGGCTGACTACATATTAATAAAGGAGGGAGGGGTGTTTAAAAATGTAAACAATGGTGGCGCCACTCCTTAAACCTGGAAATAGAGTAGAGCCAACGATACTTGGCTCCATTTGTTGAGAAAATTATAATTTGAATAGAAGTCCAGTGTTTTGCAGTATTTGCAAAGCCGGAACCGAGAATTGCGTGCCCAAATTCCTAAGTTCTACTTTTCTATCCCTTAACCATCTCTCATTGCTCACCCCTTTGTAACCAATCAGGGTTAGACAAGATCCGTTTTCATAACGGTCAGTCCAAGTGTAGTTTGGTATGCAACCCTCTCCTTCTTCCGGCTGGGTGACCTTGAGGCAGCTTCTCGAGAAAGTTCAGTTTCTACTTTCTATTTCCCAAGTGTTCCTCCTTCATTCCTCCTGCTCACAGTTCATGGCAGCCTGTCACCGCATAACAGCGAAGCGCAAACAAGCGTAAGGCGGCAGCTGACAGGTTGTAACCAAGCTGCTCCCATGGAATCTCCCTTCGGTTAATCCTGCTTTCTTACTTTCTTGGTCTCCACTCCAGTGCAGAGAAGTGGGAAAACAGAATCAGTCGGACCGTTGTTCCTTCATCCGGCATAACCCGAACTGCAAGATGGACAGTGGCTTCCTCAACTACCTCAACGGAGTTTTCTGCATCTTCCCGGCGGCTCTGCAACCTTTGGCCATAACCCTCTATGTAAGAATCTCAGCGAGAAAGAAGACTTCTCCATTTATTTTTTCTCCTTGGATGGTTCTTTTTCCCCCCTCTCCTTCGAGATTTTTAAGAAGTTCCTGTTGCCCCCCCAAAATTGGGTACTTTTACCTGCCATGCAATGGATCATACCAGATAGCTGGAATTAGTGGTGGGATTCAAAAACGTTTTACTACCCGTTCAGTGGGTGTAACTTGGCGGGCACATTTTGTGTGTGTGTGCGCACACACTTTGCGTGCACGCGCACCAAATGTGCGCTATTTGCGAATTCATCCCCTTGGAAGCTAATGGCTATGTTATCTGATTTCCTCCACGGCTCTCCCTTGCAAGCGCTGATTGGGTTGCTTATCTAGCTTGCCACGCTTTTACAAGGTGTGAAATGCTCTTGGCTGAATGCCCAGAAGTTCAATTAAGCCTATTAAGAGCTTTCCCTTTCTGCGTGTCTTTCTGAGGTAATTGGGGGCTGTCCGAGCTCCACTAGCTAGGGGCTCTCCCGAGCCCCTGCGAGCCCCCAGCAGCCCACCCCTGGTCTCAAACCATCTGGGGCAGGTGACATACCTGGTTGGGAAGGTTGGATGCTGTTTTTCCACTTCCTGTTTTACAGCAAATGCCCTTGTCTTTGGTTTCTTGTAGGTCATTTGGCTTTTCTACCTCTTCGTTATCCTTGGGGTCACGGCTGAGAAATTGTGAGTGGTAAACGCAGAATCTAAATCCCACTTTCGGAGCCAAAGGCTTTCTTCAGATAGGACCTTCTGGCTCACAAACTGTTTTCTCCTCTCGTGTGCAAAAGATGGATTGGGGTTGAAGAATAGACACCGTGGCTGTATATCAGCCCTCAGATGGAGAGTCAATAGTCCCCAGGTCTGGAGGTGGCTGATGAGGAAGAGGAGGAACAACTGGGCCCAGTGTCTGACGTACGAATGCGCAGAAGGGAGAGGAGAGCAGTGGAAATCTATGGGCCGGTCCTTGGGATGGAAGAGCCAAGACCTCCGTTATTCTGTTATTAGTCTTGAACTGAGAAGTTACCTGCAGGAGACAAGGCAGGGAGGGACAGCGATGAGAAGGGAAGTAGCATTTCAGAAATGTTTAATCGTTCTCTTTCTTTCTCTTTCTAGCTTCTGCCCTAACTTATCGGCCATCTCCACCAAGCTGCGTCTGGCTCATAATGTGGCAGTATCCTTTCGTAGGGCCCCGCTCCATCCTGTCCTTTGGGGGGGAGTCACAAAGTGGGTGGTGAAAGAGAAGGTCCCAGAAGGACAAACCCATAAAATGGAGAAGGTGGACCAGGGAAGATAAGAGTTGGGTGGAGAATTTGGGTACAGTCAGAAAGGGTTGGTGAAAATGTTGCAGGCTTGAAATGGCAATGGAAACCACTTTGAATTAAATGATTGATGATGATGATGATAATGTTGAGTATCATCATCATCATCAGATGTTTGAGCAGACCCCAAAGGACAAATATCTTTCAAAAGAGGCTAGCTTTCTTTTCCTCCCAAGCAAACCATACGCCAATTCTGTGAGTGAAAACAGTCAGTGGAACCACTCGCCTTCGCAAGTTGTGGGTGCTCCAACACTGAAGGTTTTGAAGAAGAGTTTGGACAGCCATTTATCCATAGGATCGCCTGCTCTAGCAGGGGGTTGGACTAAAAGACACCCCCCCCCAAAAAAAAGTCCCTTCCAAATTGTTCTATACTAGCTGGATACCCGTGCTTCGCTACGAAACGATGTGATCGGGCTTAATTTTTTGTGGAGGAAAATAAGGGGAAAAAAAATCTTCCTCTGTTTACCAGCATCCATCGGTATTCATCTGGCTAGCATCCTGTCAGTGTGCGAGAGAGTTGACGGCTGTTTGGAAAGTGAAACAGTATTTGCTGTGTGAGCAAGAAGGAGAACAGCAAGGAGCCTGGGCGTGGCTTAGCTCAACTGTGCCGTACTAAAGCTGCTTGCTGCTGTGAAAACAAACTGAAACTCCTCTCCTCGGCTTGTGTTTTGCATTTGGAAGAGATTTCTTTTCAGGTGGGGAGGGAGAGTGGAACTCCTTAGCATCAGAGCGTGTTAATAATAATAATATAGGAAATACTAACGCTCTGGTGGTCATTTCGAAAAATTCTTTCTTAGTGAGCCCCTGGAGGCCAAGAGGAACATAGGTGCCAAATTTCAAGTTTAGCCTTTATGATTCTGGAGATTTTGTGATGATGCTTGAGTGGTCTTTCGCTTTTATATATAGAGAGTATAATAAGCTTTATGGCAAGTAATCAGCTCCCCGACTTTGCTGGCACTGAGGACGTCCAGGCCAGCAGAATCATGAAATGAAGCCCACTCCTGAACAGACCAGCAGTGGTCGTGGTGGCTCTTCTTTCCTTAGCCCTTCCTCCATGGTGTCACCTTTCTGGCTTTTGGAAACGGAGCACCTGATATCTTCAGCGCCGTGGTTGCGTTCTCTGATCCCCGGACGGCTGGGCTAGCCATCGGAGCTCTCTTTGGTAAGAATGACAAAGGGAATGGCTGGGTTTGTGTCCTGTCTCAAACCAAGGTGTGTTTGAACTCTTGTGTTGCGCACCAAGAATGGGGACCGGGCCTTTAAGCCAGAGTCAAGAAGATATATTGCTCAAGGCTGAGCCCAAGAATCTAGTCAACTGATTTCAATTGGTGGGAGATAAGAGTCCGTGAAATTCAAGAGGACTCGATTTAGACATTCTGTGGGAATGTAATGATTCTAGGCTGATGACTCACTTAATTCTGCCCCTCTAGCTCTGCTTGTTGTTCTATGCTATAGTTGATTAGATAACCAACTATAATTTAATTTATATAAGTTGATTGCAGGGAGTACGATTTCAGCAACAGAGTGGCCAATGTCTGGAACTCACTACCTGACTCTGTTGTCACCTGCTCAAATCCTCCACTCCTTTACCCTCAAATTAACCTCAATTGACCTCACCCCATTCCCAAGAGGTCTGTGAGGGGTGTGCATAAACGCACAATCGTGCTTACTGTCCCTGTCCTATTGTCCCCAATTATTCATACCTATTTCATGTATTTATACTTATGTTTATTCTTATTTCTATTATAAGCATTTGACAAATCAAATAAATAAATAAATAAGCTACCATTGACCTAGGTGCTCAGATTGGCAGGGTGCAAGCCTGCTTTCAATTCAGTATGCTATCAAGTAAGTATCTACGGAGCTTAATCTAATGCATGGCCAAAACTTTCCTTGCTGTATTCCCTTTGGGATAATCTTTATTGTCATTTTTTATTGTGAGCACACTGGCCCACATTAAAAATGAAATTCTGTTGCCTGCTCTCAAAAGAAAGTATAGATCTACCCATAGATATATATAACACACATATACACATGTTATATACATCTATCTATCTCAATTCTCTCTCTCCCTCTCTCTCTCTCTCTCTCTCACACACACACACACCTCTCTCTCTCTCTCCCTCCCTCCCTCCCTATCTATCATCTATCTAACAATTATCTGAGATCATTCTCCCATTCCTCCTTTAGACCCAGATTTCTCTTATCAGACCCTTGTCTCAGCTGAAGTTTTTCCTCCTGTCTCCCAAGGCCATTCTCACATCCCATCAGAGTATATATGGCTGAGAAAATGGAAGGAAGGAAGGAAGGAAAGAAGGAAGGAAGGAAGGAAGGAAGGAAGGAAAGAAAGAAAGAAAGAGAGAAAGAAAGAAAGAAAGAAAGAAAGAAAGAAAGAGAGAAAGAAAGAAAGAAAGAAAGAAAGAAAGAAAGAAAGAAAGAAAGAAAGAAAGACCCTCCACCCACCTTCTCTTTTTGTTTTTTTACTAGGTGCTGGCATCTTCGTCACCACGATAGTCGCTGGTGGCATCGCCCTTGTTAGGCCTTTCACTGCCGCTTCTCGTCCCTTCCTGCGGGATGCCATCTTCTACATGGTTGCAGTGTTCCTGACTTTTGTGGCTCTCTATTTTGAACAGGTCACCTTGGCCGAAGCTCTGAGTAGGTATTAGGAGGCAAAGGGTGGGGGGGGGGGCTTAAAAAAATTCTTGTTGGGAGGTAAGACAATCCCTCTTCAGGTTTACTTGATTTTGACCAACACGGATAGGTAAAATAAAGGTAAAGGTTCCCCTCGCACGTAATATGTGCTAGTTGTTTCCGGCTCTAGGAGGCGGTGCTCATCTCGGTTGCAAAGCCGAAGAGCCAGCCCTGTCCGAAGACGTCTCCGTGGTCATGTGGCCGGCAGGACTAAACACCTTTGAAGGCGCACGGAACGCTGTTACCTTCCCACCAAAGTGGCCCCTATTTTTCTACTTGCATTTTTACGTGCTTTCGAACTGCTAATTTGGCAGAAGCCAGGACAAGGAACGGGAGCTCACTCCGTGACGCGGCGCTAGGGATTCGAACTGCTAAACTGCCGACCTTTCTGATCGACAAGCTCAGCTTCTTAGCCCCGGAGCCACCACGTCCCTAGAATACTTAACCTCATACAATGCTTTTACTAGAGCTGGCTTCTTTTCTTACTATGGAAACTCATTAGGCAGGAGCTTTTTAATTTATTTGAAATTGATTTAATATATATGAAGTGGATTCATTAGCTTGTACGCTGAACCGGAGAAAGCCTGATGAGCAGAGAAGACAACGTCAACTGCTGCGATGTCTCTCATTCACAGGTTTCCTTGGACTTTACATCTTCTATGTCTTGACCGTGGTGGTTTCAACTTGGCTTCATAAGAGACAGCGCAGGGAAAGATCGGCCCCATCCAGCCATCCAGAACCAGGTGAGGGGTGGTCTATCTGTAGGCCAGAGATTGGGTGGACTCCAAGATGTTCAATAGTCCAGGCCCCATGAGCTCCAAACCAACATGATCAAAGATCAGGAAAGATGTCAGTTGGCTTCAGCTTCCTATCTCTTCTACAAGAAGGGTTTGTGTTTTGAATGGAGAAGGACAGGAATTTAGTTGGTGGCAACTACTGGTACAAAGTGACCTGCTAGGAAATAATTAGAGGACAATTATCTGAGATGAGTGTTGCAGTGACCTAGAGGAGGCTGTGAGTTCAATCCTATGTAGAGGCAGATATTTCTCTCTCTGGGCACGTTGAGAATATGTCCGCTGGAAAAAAAAAAACCTCTGCATTGGTGACAGGTAGGGCATCCGGCCAGTAAACACACAACTCTATTCAGTTGCCTAGACTCCACCCAGCAAGGGATTATGGGGTCATTAAAAGATGATGATGGATCTTGCCTATCTGAGATGCCAGAGCAAATCGTGCTAGGCAAACTTCGTTCAATATTCCATCATCTTGCTTTACATCGTCACCTGAAGCTCAAGATTTGCATTGTACGCATATGACAAACGTGTTTTCTCTCTCTCTCCTTCTCTCTCTCACTCCAGAGCTTTCAACGGATTCTGAAGAAGGTGACAATGCAAATGTGAATGGGGGTAAGGCATTCTCCATTTTCCAAGCACAAAGATGGCTTAGAATTGATGTTAGTTGTTTGTGAGGGCTACAATGCTCTTCCCTTACAAGATTCTCAAGCCGAAATGCTTTCAGCGAACAAAGTTGAGAGGTTTCCTTGTTTCCTGAGGATCTTCAGAAAGGAGGGAACAAAGTCCCTATTCTGGTTGAATTTTTCTGTTTGCCTGAAAATACGACCTGCCCTGAAAGCCAATTGATTTTTACACGTGTGCCCAATCCTAGCCCTAAAATAAGCCCTAATTAAGGCCCCGACCACGCCAGAGTGGACAGATAAAAATTAAGCTAGGGTGGAGCTGCCCTACTACTTACCTTTGAACCGTTGCAGCCAGGCTTAGCGCATCCCGACACCTGCCTTGCCGTCCCATTTCTTCTGCAAGGCTGACAAGGCCTCTGGAGCTGATAACAAAGCTCTGGATCGATCCTGAGTTATCGTCTGTTATTGGCTCTTCAAGAAAGCCTTGCCGGCCGCAGAAGAAGAAATTCCTGAATGCCTCTGACAGCACAAAGGAGGCCGGTGAGGGGGCGATGTGCGTAAAGTGACGTTAGTCAGCGGATGACATCCTCCGAAAATAAGACCTGGTGCCTTTCGTTGGTGGCAAAAATAAAAAAATGAAAAAATAAGACAGGGTCTTATTTTCGGGGAAACACAGTAGAAGCCCAGGAGCCTCTGAGGTCTAGCCCCCATCTTAGACACAAAGCCAGCTGGGTGACTTTGGATCCATCCTATACTCTCTCGACCCTAAAATGGAAATAACCAACCATTTCTATCCCGGCTTGGAAAAGTGCAGTAACAAATCTTGGCAATGGCCAAATGTTATGATTGACTTGAAGGCTCCAAGAAATGCAAGAGAGAATGAGACGTTTTGAGTCCTGACCGTCTTTTAGAGCTTCTTGTTTCTTTCGCTTGTACAGAGGAAGAATATCAACCGCTGTTGCCCGTGGAGGAGACGACGTTCCGCATTCTGACTCAGTCCATCAACCCTCTGGATTATAGGAAGTGGAGGAGGAAGCCTTGCTATTGGAAACTGCTCAAGGCGTGCAAGGTGAGAGCTACATCTTTCATATAATTATATATATTGAGATATATATGAATCTCTCTCTCTTTTTCTCTCTCTCTCTCTCTCCCTCCCTCCCTCCCTCCCTCTTCATACATAGCTCGATACCCGTGCTTCGCTACGAAACTATGTGATTGGGCTTAGTTTTGGGGGAGGAAAATAAGGGGGAAAAATTCTGCCTCTGCCTACCAGCATCCATCAATATTCATCTGGCCAGTGTCCTGTCAATGTGTGTGAGACTTGAGGGCTGTTTGGAAACTAAAACAGTATTTGCTGTGTGGGCAAGGAGACAGCAGGGAGCCTGGATGTGGCTTTGCTCCACTGTTCTGTACTAAAGCTGCTTGGTGCTGTGAAAATAAAATTGAAACCCCTCTCCTCTGCTTGTGTTTTGCATTTGGAAGAGATTTCTTTTCAGGTGGGCAGGGGGAGTCGAACTCCTTAGCATCAGAGCATGTTAATAATAATAATAATATAGGAAATACTAAGGCTATGATACTAAGTTCATTTTGAAAAATCCTTTCTTAGTGAGCCCCTAGAAGCCAAGAGGAACATAAATGCCAGATTTCAAGTTTGTAGGCTTTATGGTTTTGGAGATTTTGTGATGATGCGTGAGGAGTATTTCACTTATATATAGATAGATAAATAAAAAGAAACCTTGAATCTAAATGGTGCAGTGTCTCCTCAGGGGACATCTAAAAGCTTCTGGCCCTTCTAAACTGCATCGATCTTGTCCTTGTGCCGTATCCGTCATCGGATGTTGGCGATCCTGTTGACAATCCTATTTTTAGTTTGTAACCAGAAGGCCGCGTTCAAAGGGGTCAAGCTATTTTCTAAAGCGCCTGTAAGCCAGACAAGGAATAATGGATGGAAACTGAACAAGGAGAGATTCAACCTGGAAACAAGGAGGGATTTTCTGACAGGGAGAACAATCAACCCATGGAACAGAAGTTGCCCTCGGAAGTTCTGGGAGCTTCATCACTTGAGACTTTCAAGAAGAGTCAGGACTGCCATTTTTCAGAAATGTTGTAGGGTCTCCCGCTTGGGTGGCGGGTTGGACTAGATGACCTACAAGGTCTCTTCCAACTCTGATTATCTGTTAATTCTGGAGCGGACCGGAAGTCCCGTTCCCCCCACCATAGCCTCTCCTCCTAGCGCAGCGTCCTTTTTCCTAAAGCCCTATCAATTGTGGAGCCGACCGGCAATAGGGAGCTGCAGCAAGGGGGGGATGAAAGAGCCACATATGGCTCTGGAGCCACAGGTTGCCGACCCCTGGGATAGAACCTCCAAATTCCCCACCATGAAACTAAAGGAGAAATTTGTGTCTTTCTCCCTATCATTTCTTCCCATCAGTTTTCATTCCAGAACCAACATTATTTCTGCTGAGTGGACATTTAAGAGATAGGCTTTTAAAGGTCAGGGCTCTTCCCGTTGCATCTCTGCAAAGCACTAGACCGACAAGTTCTATTGTCCTTGAAGCCAAAAGAGCTCGTGACTTCTCTTTCTCTTCCTTCTAGAAGAAACACATGAGGAATACGGGGGAGGTTTGGGCGTTTGGGAGGTTTGCCCACAGACACACCGAACAGTCGTTCCACATTTGTTGATAATAAATAATGCAGTTCCTTTGGTTTCACATGTTCCTTGTGGTTTCCAAGGCGTAAAGTTACAGGCAGCGCCGTGCCCCCTTCGTATTTCTTGTGGCAATGATGCTGGTGACTCAGTCCGAGACATAAGGAACGGTGACCTTTCATAAGTGCCAGTTTGGTCTAGTGGTTAAGGCACCCCAGGCTAGAAAGCGAGAGACCGTGAGCTCGAATCCCACCTTGCTCTGTCGGTGACGTGGGGAGGGTTCTTAGTGGTCCCTGGATTAGGCTATTGTTTCATGTTTGATTGTCTTGAGTTGGGGATTCCTTGAGAAGCTGCTTGTATGTAAACAGAAGGTGAATTTCACTCCCTTCAGGCACTGATGACGTTACCTAATTTGGTAATGAAACGTCTGCAAAAAAAAACCAACCTCAGAGAGCACCAAGGACCCCACAGTCAGCGTTGTTCTCCTCCTCCTCCTCCTCCTCCTCCTCCTCTTTCCCTCCTCCTCTTTCCCTCCTCCTCATTCTCCCAACCCCCCTGCCTTCTAACACTGATGATGTTACCTAGCAGGATCATGAAACGTCTGTAAGAAAACAACCAACCTCAGAGAACACCAAGGACCCCACAGTCGTCGTCCTCCTCCTCCTCTTCCTCCTCTCTCTTTTCCTCCACTCCACAACCCCCATTTTTTTTCTAGCACTGGTGATGTTACCCAGTTTGGTAATGAAACGTCTGCAAGAAAACAGCCATGCTCAGAGTGTACCAAGAACCCCACAGTCCTCCTCCTCCTCTTTCTCCTTCTTCTTCTCCTCCTCCTCCTCCCCCTTTCCTTCTCCTTTCTCCAACCCCCATTTCCTTCTAGCACTGATGGTGTTACCTAGTTTGGTAATGATACGTCTGCAAAAAAACCAACCAGGCTCAGAGAGCACCAAGGACCCCTGAAAAGCTTCCAGGTTTTTTCTTCTTCTCACCAATAAGACCCTGTCTAACCAAGGGTTCAGGCACCAAGTTCAAAAACCAGGAGACCAGAAGTTCTAGTCCCTCTTTCTATAGAAGTGCAGGTACAATCTCTAGTCTGGGCAACTCGCTAATAGCTGCTTCTTTTCCTACAGCTTCCTGTCGAGCTGATCCTTTTACTGACCGTACCTATCGTTGACCCTGACCGGGACGATCAAAACTGGAAAAGGCCTCTGAATTGTCTGCATCTGATCACCGGCCCTCTCATCTGCATTCTCGCCCTGAAATCTGGAACCTGTAAGTTCTCACCTTTCCCTTCACCAATTGGGCTGTGTAATTTGGAAGGTGGCTAAAAGTGAGCAGGAGGAAGGACCTCTCTTGATCTCAAACACACACACACACACACGATGTATAAATCGTCTCCATTTCACTCTCCAGTACTCCCAGTTAGAAGGGGGGCGGCATTACAGGTGTGAGAACAGGAAAAGGAATTTGGAGCCAAGTTGGGGGAACGTATGAAAGAGCCACGAAGATGACACAGCCCAGAGACTGAAGGATGAGTAGGATGGGGGTGATGATGTAAAACAAGGGTCTTCAAACTTGGCCAAGTTTAAGACTCGTGGACTTTCAACTCCCAGAATTCCTGAGCTAACATGACTGGAGGAGGAATTCTGGGAGTGTGCAGTGCTCTATAGCTTCGTTTTGAGGGAAGGAGTTGAAACAATTTATGTCCAGGATGTGAAGGGATCTGTAGATATTTTCACACCCTCTTTGCGACTTGTGCAAGATACAGGCCCTCCATGGAAGGCAGGTCGGTAGCCACTGTTCTTTTCTGCAGCCCTAATTCTCCTCTCTGGAGTCTGTGTCTGTCTTGTTGGGTTGCAGAACCAAACCAGGCACGGATAGCGGTGCAGATGACAGACTCCATCATTCCTCTGACAGCCATCTTCCAATATCTGTGTTGCAGATGGTCTTTACAAGCTCCAGGGAGTCTTCCCAGTTTGGGGTCTCGTGGTCCTGGTGGGAGCTACTTTGGCGGCTATTCTCTTTTGCGTCACCAGGAATGAAGAACCGCCCAGGTGCCACTTTGTGAGTCTTGGGGGAAACTTGCGCTAGGACTTTAGATGCGGTTGGAATTGTGGAATCCAGTCTAGACATTCCCCACATTCGGCTTCTGAAATTGACAAACCCTTCCACGGCTGATGTAGTTAAGCAATCACACCTATGATTCCCACAAAGATGAAAGGCCAGGCCTAAGCTGACTGCAATAGAGGATGTGGAAAGGATGTGGAAAGTAGGTCTTAACCAATGACCGCTCCACCCTTTCCCAATGACAGCCTCCTCCAGATGTGTGGCACGTATCAAAAGTATAAAGAATGGAAACAGAAATGGAGAACTGGTGAACAAATGGCATAGATGTAGAATAACAGAGTTGGAAGGGACCTTGGAGGTCTTCTAGTCCAACCCCCTGCCTAGGCAGGAAACCCTACACTACTTCAAACCAATGGTTATCCAGCATCTTTTTAAAAACTTCCAGTGTTGGAGCATTTACAACTTCTGAAGGCGAGTTCTTCCACTGATTAATTGTTCTGACTGTCAGGAAATTTCTCCTTAGTTCTAAGTTGCTTCTCTCCTTGATTAGTTTCCACCCATTGCTTGGAATTTGAATTATTTGTCCAAGAGATTCGTCGTAGCCGAACTGGACTTCTTTTTATTTTCATGGAGGCTTTTAGTCTTGGAAGGGAGTTTTTGTGTAATAACAAAATATTTGCTTCATTTCTCTGGGGAGAAATGAAAAGTGAACGATTTGTATTTTGCCCACGTCAACGGCTACCTTTTTCAAGTTCCTTTTCTGGAGCTCCGTGCTAGGATGTGGAAAACACTTTGACTAGAGGTATCTCAGAGGCAAAGATCCCATTTTAAATGCAAAACGGGCACTTCTGAGCATTTGTTTTCCGCCCAAAACCGCTCTCTTTTGAATTTGGGATCCTTCTCTTCTGCTCGAAACACACAATTGTGTTTTGTTTTTTTTCCTGGATCCAAATGGGATATTTGGAATTTTGAAGCAGTTCAGACTGAAATTTTCTGTCCCCGGCAGTTCCTCTCTGATCTCATAGTTATGCTGCAGCCAACTTACCCACTCTCTTAAAAAATGTGAATGCAGCAATAGAAGGGATTGTGCAACCACCTGGATCTAATCCAAGATTCCCTAAGGGGATCTTTCTCAATCCAGTGACGTGGACTTCAGCTCCCAGAATCCTTAGCACGAGCCACACTTTGTCCATACATCTGGAGGGTGCTTAGGTTCAGAGAAGCTGTACGAAGCCATAATGTGTGTTTTAAAGTGTATTTATTGTCAGTTAGCATGATAAACCACTGCTTCCTGTTGGCCTGGATCTTTGCAGCTGTGGCTTAAAATGACGCATGTGTGAAGGGGCGAGAACATGATTTCTGGCGGTTTTTCTGTTGATTTTGTTTTTATGTCCTTCCCAGTCTCCAGAGGTTCAAGTGAAAACATGTTTCAGAGAGACTGAGCAGGAGCAAAAGGGAAGGGAAGGGAAGGGAAGGGAAGGGAAGGGAAGGGAAGGAAGGAAGGAAGGAAGGAAGGAAGGAAGGAAGGAAGGAAGGAAGGAAGGAAGGAAAGGTAGGGAAAGAAAGAAAGAAAAGAAAGGGAAAGAAGAATAACTTAGTTTGTGCTAATTGTTAAGGCATCAGGCTAAAAAGAAAGAGAGAGAGACAAGAAGGAAGGGAAAGAAAGAAAAGGAAGGGAGAGAAAAAAAGAGAAAGAAAAAAGAAACTAACTTAGTTTGTGCTAATGGTTAAGGAATCAGGCTAAAAAGAAACAAAGAGAGAGAGGAAGGGAAAGAAAGAAAGAAAGAGAGAAAGAAAGAAAGAGAGAAAGAAAGAAAGAGAGAGAGAGAGAAAGAAAGAGAGAGAGAGAGAGAAAGAAAGAAAAAGAAAGAAAGAAAGAAAGAAAGAAAGAAAGAAAGAAAGAAAGAAAGAAAGAAAGAAAGAAAGAAAGAAACTTAGTTTACTCTAATGGTTAAGACATCAGGCTAAAAACGGACAGACTTTGAGTTCTAATCTCACCTTGGACATGAAAGCCACCTCGGTCACTCTCAGCCCAACCCACCTCACAGGGTTGGTATTACAGGGAAAACAGGAGGAAGAAGGCGGACTAGGTGTGCTCGCCACCTTAAATTATTTTAAAAAATAAAGGTGGAAAAAAATTAGGGAAAGGGAAGGAAAGTAAGAAGCGGAAGAGATAAGAGAGAGGTGGAGATATAGTACATAGATGAAATATGGAAGACATAGAGGTAAAGAGAGAGAGAAAAGGGGAAGGGAAAGGAAAGGGGAGATGAGGGGAGGAGAGAGGAGAGGAAGGGAAAGGGAGGAAAGAAGGAAAGGGAGGAGGGAAGGGAAAGGAAGGAAAGGAAAGGGAAGGAAGAAAGATGAGAGAAAGAGGGAAGAGAAGGGAAGGGAAGGAAAAGAAAGGAAAGGAAAGGAAAGGAAAGGAAGAAGGGAAGGGAAGAGAAAGGAAGGGAAGGAAAGGAAGGAGGGAAGAGGAAAGAGGAAAGGAAAGGAAAGGAAAGGAAAGGAAAGGAAAGGAAAGGAAAAGTTTGAAAGGACTTTGCTGGGCTGCAAGACCGACCCCAGCTTATACCATAGGCCAGGCTAAAACAAAACCATGATTTAACGGGACGAGTGCATTCATTGCTCTCTCTTCCTACGCTCCTTGGGCTTCCCTCTGGCCACAGCTGTTTGCCTTCCTGGGCTTCTTTGTCAGTGCCATGTGGATCAATGCGGCGGCCACGGAAGTGGTGAACATCCTCCAGACCTTGGGTATCATCTTCCACCTGAGCAACACAGTCTTGGGCTTAACGCTGCTCGCCTGGGGAAACAGCATCGGGGGTAAGTCGAACAAGCCGGGGCATTTAATTTCGTGGCACGAGGTGGCAATAAACTGGCGATCAACTGAACTAAAGCAAACCTGTATCCAGGAAGTGAATGCTCTTATGCCGAGCTTGTCTTCTCTTTCTCCCAACAGACATGTTCTCCGACCTAACGATGGCACGACAAGGTTATCCCAGGATGGCTTTTTCAGCCTGTTTCGGGGGTATCATCTTCAGTATCCTTTTAGCGGAATTGGCAGGGCTCAATTCCAAGCAAGGAGGTCGGTGGAGTCCAGGGTGGGATTCAAATGTTTTTAACAACCGGTTCTGTGGGCGTGGCTTAGGTGGTGGGCGTGGCTTGGGGGTCATGTTATTGGCTGGGCGTGGCCAACTCAATATCACTCACATTGAGGCGCGCATCTCCTCGCCTGGCCTCTTGTGACTGGGGGATGCTGCAACAGTCATAAGTGTGAAAAATGGTCATGTCACTTTTTTCAGTTCCATTGTAGCTTTGAACGGTCACTCCACACAAGCAAAGTACCAGCAAAGGAGGGGAAAAAAACTCCAGAGAAGTTCCTGAGACAGGAAGTCTAATCCTGCCAAGAATGTAATAAGGGTTAACGGAGAGGCAGTTTCTGTAAGCAACACCAGAATGTTTCCTTCCTGCCTTCCTTACAGGATTAGCCCAGTAACTTCTTCTAACAACCGGTTCTCCCGACTGCTTAGAATGTTAACAACCGGTTCTAGCGGATAGGTGCGAACTGGTAGAATCCCACCCCTGGTTGAGTCCTAGTAGTAGGAGCCAGCTGTGTGCTGCAGCTGCCAAAAAAAGCCAACGCAGTTCTGGGCTGCAGGATAGAAGGATAGAACCAAGATCACCTGAAGTGTTAATACCACTTTATAAGGCCTTGGTAATAAGGCCACACTTGGAAATACTGCATCCAGTTTTGGTGGTCATGATATGACGAGTGAGACTCTGGAAAGAGTGCAGAGAAGAGCAATCAGCCGAATCAGCCTGTTCCAAACCTGGTTGTTGCACAGCCAGTAAAACTTGTGGAATCTTTTCTCCTGAACTCTCTCTCCCAGATATGCTTGTCGGCGTCGGGCTGGGCTGCCTTTTGCAAATGTCGAGCAACAAATGGGTAGTGAGGGTACGGAACATCTATATGTCATGCGATGTATTTTATTTCTTTGCTTCCTTTATTTCCTCTTGGCCCTTCCGGAGAGGGGAAAGCAGATGAGTGATATTTTTTTCCTGTCTAAATAGCGAACGGGGAATATTTCTGCAGCTGGAAGGCAGCTGGCTCTGAATTCAGGAAGTGCAAACTGAGATATGCCAAGAGGGGAGAATGTATGTAGCTCAGGGTTGAAATGAGAGGTCTTTGGTGCTCTCTCAGCTTGGCTTTTCTTGCAGACGTTTCATTACCATACTAGGTAACACCATCAGTGTTAGAAGGGAGTGGGGTTGGCGAGGAGGAGGAGGGAGGAGGAGGAGTTGGTGACTTTCCCTGCACACTTCAAAAGGGTCAAACTAGATGAAGCTTGAAACTTTTCCTCCATCCAAAGTATTTAGTAAAGCTGTATTACTATTCTTCTCATCTTTCCTATTACCTATCTCCTTTTCTACTTACGACTATAACTTTCTTGCTTGCATGTTTACAAATTATATTGATTTATTTAGTTTCCTAGTAGGATGTATCTTGATTGCTTATTTAGCATCCCATGACTATCGCTAAGTGTTGTATTTTACTATTTATGATAATTGTATTTTTATGATGACTGTATCTTTTATGTACAGTGAGAGCTTATGCACAAGTTCCTTGTGTGTCCAATCATACTTGGCCAATAAAGAATTCTCTTCTCTTCTCTTCTCTTCTCTTCTCTTCTCTTCTCTTCTCTTCTCTTCTCTTCTCTTCTCTTCCTTCCTTCCTTCCTTCCTTCCTTCCTTCCTTTCTTTCTTTCTTCCCTTCCCTTCCCTACCCTACCCTACTCTACTCTACTCTATTCCATATTCTCTTGTCTTTTCTCTTCTTCTCTTCTCTTCTATTAACTACTCTATTCCATCTTCTCTTCTCTTCTCTTCTCTTCTCTTCTCTTCTCTTCTCTTCTCTTCCTCTTCTCTTCTTTCTCCTCTCCTCTCCTCTCCTCTCCTCTCCTCTCCTCTCCTCATCTCTCCTCTTGCTGTTGCCTTCTCTTCACTTCCCTTCCTTTCCCTTCTATTCTGTTCCCTACTCTCCACTCCTCTTCTCTATTCCCTATTCTACTCTCCTCTATTCATTATTTGCTCTTTTTCTCTTTCTTTGCAGCTCGAGCCGGACGACCTCTTGGTATGGATTCTAGCAGGTGCCCTGGGCCTCAGCCTAGTCATTTCTTTCCTTTCAGTGCCCGCCCAGTGCTTCCATCTGGGCCCAATGTATGGCTATTGCCTCATAGCCTACTATGTGGTCTTTCTAACCATCGCGCTGCTAACTGAGTTTGGGGTGATCCGAATTTCCACCTTCTGAATGAAAGCGTCTCCTCCGAAGTTCTCACCCACATCTCCCAAAGTTGGACTTGCCCTCGACCCTGTGATTTACTTGAAGACGGTGCCTTTGGGGACAAAGACTTGCTGGCGATGTCTAAAATAGGACCCGGTACCCAGGTTGGATGCTGGTCATGGCGCAAAGGATGAACGGTGAAAACTGGACACCATGGCTGTGGCTGACATGCATCAACCCAGCTGTTCCACATCCTTTTGATGCGATTTGGGGATTTTAGAACCAAATCTAGGATTACAGGACATGTGGGACATTGTTTGTCCCAACGCCTCAACCCGCCACCCCCATCACCCCCAGCTTTTCCAAGGGAAACTCCTTGTTTAGATCGCAATTTTTTTTTAAAGGTATCCTTTTAAAGAAACGAGTTTTGTTAGAAGTTTTTTTTTTTTTTTTTGGTTCCTGAATTGAAGCTTGAATATATCCCTCAGGTATGTACACAATTTTTCATCCGTTGTGACCTCTGTTTGGTAGCAGGGTGTCTCCGTGATTCATTCATTCATATATATATATATAGGTTTGAATCCCTAGCACCACGTCATGGAGTGAGCCCCTGTTTCATGTCCCAGCTTCTGCCAACCTAGCAGTTCGAAAGCACGTAAAAAAAAATACAAGTAGAAAAATAGGGGCCACTTTGGTGGGAAGGTAACAGCGCTCCGTGCGCCTTCGAAGGCATTTAGTCCTGCCGGCAACGTGACCATGGAGACGTCTTCGGACAGCGCTGGCTCTTCGGCTTTGCAACAGAGATGAGCACCGCCCCCTAGAGCCAGAAATGATTAGCACAGATGTGCAAGGGGAACTTTTACTTTTACCTATGTATATATAAAAGGGATAAGGCTTCAATCATGAGTTACGCCTGCCATCTTGACTTTTTTGCCCCTTTCCTGCTTTTGACTGTTAAAAGAGTTTTATCCAGAGAAAAAGAACCGCAGAAGAAAACTCCCTTGCTCATGACTGGAATCTGAATATCGACTTTTAGCTACAAATGGCCTTATCCGTTCCTAAGAGAGGCCTACTGTAGATTTGCTGCTGAATTAATACATAGCAAAACCGTGACAGGAAAGGACAGTGGAATAATTGACAGCTGCCTGTGAAAAAGAGATAACCTGGGTGTGTTCACTAGCAAGCTTCTTCACCTTATTGGGTTGACTTACTTCCAAAGTTTATATGGCTCCACAGACTTGCAAATCAGCTAAACAGATTGGGTTTCTCCAACACTACTAAACTAAAGTTAGGATTAAAAACCATTAAGATTGGAGTGAGGGATGAACTGCCAGGTTTGTAACTGACCAGGGAAACCGTGCCTTGTGGACATAGCCATCAATGTTGAAAAAGGGATATGCTTGTGACCAAGAATGGGTAGCTTTTGTTGTGTCTGAAGGCAGGGCTCGAAATCCTTCCAGACCTGTAAGGTCCTTGGTGCTCTCTGAGTTTTGTGGTTTTCTTGCAGATGTTGCATTACCCAACTAGGTAATGTCATCAGTGCTAGGAGGGAGAGGGGTTGGTGGAGAGGAGAAGGACTGAAAGGTCCTTAGTGCTCTCTGAGCTTGGTTGTTTTCTTGTAGACATTTCATTACCCAACTAGGGGACATCATCAGTGCTAGAAGGGAATGGAGGAGGAGGAGGAGGAGGAGGAGGAGGAGGAGGAGGAGGAGGAGGAGGAGACATGTAGAGATTTCATTAGCCAACTAGGTAACATCATCTGTGCTAGAAGGGAATGGAGGAGGAGGAGGAGGAGGAGGAGGAGGAGACATGTAGAGATTTCATTAGCCAACTAGGTAACATCATCTGTGCTAGAAGGGAATGGAGGAGGAGGAGGAGGAGGAGGAGGAGGAGACTTGTAGACATTTCATTAGCCAACTAGGTAATATCATCTGTGCTAGAAGAGAGTTGGGTTTGCTCTTATTTTGCCATGTCAGCCACTAGTATATAAAAATATAAGAGCAAATCCTTCTAGCCTTGATGTGGTACCTAGTTGGGTAATTGTCTATGGAGGTTCTGAAGTCATCCAGGATCTGGTTGTGCCAAAGGTGCTTTTTCAAAAGGCATCTGGACTTTCTTTTTTCCTTGAAGACATTTCGCTTCTGATCCAGGAAGCTTCTTCAGTTCTGATTGAGAGTCAGAACTGAAGTCAGAACTGAAGAAGCTTCTTGGATGAGGGGTGAAATGATTTCAAGGAAAAAAAACAAAAAAAGTCCCGCTGCCTTTTGAAAAAAGCGCTTATGAGACTAGTTGGGTAATGTCTGCAAGAAAACCACCAAGCTCAGAGACCACCAAGCACCCTGTCATTCGGCCCTGTGCTACAATATTCTCTTCTACCGGTACCTTCCAGACCTGTCAATCAGAATAAGAAAAAAAAAAGTGTGTTTGTGTGCAAAAGGCATTGCAAATATGCAACTTTGATGACCATTTTTTTGTTCTTGGTTCCTCTTCCTTTCCTATTTTTCTGATGTCCTTGAACAAAGTTTTTAGTTTGCACTTCCTGTTTCCTCTTTCTCTTTTCTATTCTTGGAGTGGGTGAGCAAATAGGATATCTATATGTAATATGATATTGCTCCATATGCGCTCCAAACCAGTGGCGGCTTTGCAGGAAAGTCCTGGCTGAACAATCTTTTTAAAATTTATTTTGTCTATTTCTCTGCTAAGTCAATCACAGCGACTAAAACATGCACTCTGACATACGTAACAAATAACAACAGACTGGTTTTTTTTCAGATATATCCACCCGGCTGTGCACCAGGGTGTAATGTGTTCCTCTCAACTTTTTCCTTTTTTTCTTTCTTTTTTCTTTCTTCCTTCCCTTCCTCTCCTTTTCTTCTTCTTTCCCTTCTTTTTCTTCCTTCCTTCCATCTTCCTCTTCCTTCCGTCTTTTTCCTTTTCTTTCCTTCCCTTCCTCCCTTCTTTTTCTTCCTTTTGCCTTTTTTTCTTTTCCTTCCTTTTTCTTTTCCTTCCTTCCTTGCCTTTTTCTCCTTCCTACCTTTCCTTTTTCTTTCTTTCTGCCTTTTGCTGTTCCTCTTGTCTTTTGTCACTTAAACCCAGTAGATTTCAATCTGCCTAAATCAGCAATTACACAGACTGAGTATTGACCAAGTCAAATACGGTTTATGCAGTTGTTGGGAAGTGGCTGGCTCTTCACAATCCACACATCAGCTAGAAGAAGAAATATTGAAGCAGGCTTCTTTCTTAGGTTTCTTTTTAACCAAGAGGTTGTCTGATCTCTTCTTAAATACCTCCAGTGTTGGAGCATTTACAACTTCTGGAGGCAAGTTGTTCCACTGATTAATTGTTCTAACTCTCAGGAAATTTCTCCTTAGTTCTAAGTTGCTTCTCTCCTTGATTAGTTTCCACCCATTGCTTCTTTTCTTGCCTTCATATGCTTTGGAGAATAAGGGAGAAGTTAAGGGATGGTGGCCCAGGTCTATAGCTTTGTTCATTTCTGTAAATACTTTTAACTTCCATTGAGCTTGTCTGCGTTTAATGATCTACCTCAAAGAGCCCAAGTGCTGTAATTTACCTTCCCATGTTGTTGTTAAGAAGATGTCAACAGAAATAATAAAGAGCTTCAATAAATTGCAGGGTTTGGACTTTACGTTTTGTGTGAAACAACTCCCAATAGTTTCTTGAGGTTTTCTTTATTTTGTCCAGCTGTACACAAAATCTATCTAGGATCCTCTTTGGAAATTTACTCATCAAATATGTAACTGAGTAGTCTGGAAGAAGGAGGGATTTTGAGTTAGGAACTGGATGGATTGGTTGAATATACAGGTAATCCTTGACTTAACTACACAATTGAACCCAAAATCTCCATCGCTAAACAAGAGTTGTTACAAGTGAGTTTTTCCCCTTATTTTATGACTTTGCTTGCCAGTTCTTAAATAAATCGCTGCCATTTTTAACTTAGCCACACGTGACCCCCACTTAGTCTATCATAAATATGAGTCAGTCGCCAAGATTCCGAATTTTGAGCCCTTGACCATGGGAATTCTGCAACTGTCGTTAAGTGTGAAAAGCAGGCATAAATTACTATTTTTGGTGCTGTTGTAACACATCAAATGTGTCAGGATTCTGGTAGTTCCCTCAATTAAATCATGAGTCTCGAGCCAAACTTCCAAAACTTCAAAAGGATTTACTGGGAGTTAACATGTCCGGCACTGCCTGGGTGTAGCTGACTCTAAGGCACATCATTCATTGCCACCCTTGACCCTGGTTTTTCCCTCCACCCCCTGGGTGTATCATAATTCATATCCTCCAATGGGACACATCCATAGCCAAGAGTCATCAATCATATTCTCCAATGAGAATTTTATGCGGCAGAAATTTCGGTCACCTAGTTACTATCTTTCAAAACATTTATGGAATGCACTTTCAGTTTCCAAGCTGCCGCACTTACTCCCCTCTCCCTTTCTGTCTCAAAAGATCATAGAAATATTTTATGAGTTGACAGAATGGTTACTAAACGAATGATTTTAAGTCGTAATCTACCTGCCTGTATACCCTTAATATAAAAAGAGAGATGCAGAAAAAGGGGTTAAAGAGGTTTATTAAATGTTCTGTAAACATCTATATAATACTGTTTTCAGACATATCGTTATATCGGTCATACAAATTTCCCCGTATCCAAAACCCATAATCCCCAGCGAATGATTGTCTTTGGAGGTTAGAGCAGAGAAGAAAAAAAATATTTAGGAAGGAACATCCCTGCTTTTTTCTGAAGTTTGTTTTCCTTCCAAGAGGCTCCAAAAAAAAACACAAAAAAACACCTTTCTGGAGTTGTTTCTAACTTATACCCTAAACGAGAATAAAAATAACAAAAACTTGAAAAAAAATATGACCCCATTTTACTCAGTATGGGGTTTCCAGTATCTCTTATGCCCCACAGAGGAAGGAAATCTGAAATTATATCCTTTTTCATTTACTATCTAGGCTGATGGTAGGAGGAAAAAAAAAACGGAATTTAGTGCTTATTTGTGACCCAAGTGTAATGCCTCAAAACCTGGAATACGTTTTCTTCCAATTTTTAGTGTTTGAAATACTAAAATTAAGCCTGGCAGCGTTCAATCTTGCTTGATGCTCACTGGAAAGGCTACTGCTGTCAGTCAGTGTTTCTCAAAGCTTATCAACTTTGAAAATGTGTGGACTTCAATTTCCAGCATTCAAGATGGAGAAACTTTGCTCTAGATGTTGACACCATGGACCTTAGCCAAAAAATGGTGCGAATGATGGGCTAGAGATGGTACCAAGCAGATTCTCATTAACAAGCCTAAGTGTGCATAAGCATGTAAAATGTACAACATCTGAGCCGTTGACTGACAAGCAAGAAAACTCCAAATTATAAAGGCGGCCAGCCTTCATTTCCATTGAGTGACACCAGCAAAACGGTCAGTAAACCAGATTAAGGATCACTCAAACTCCAGTTTAAAAACGAACAGAATGTACAAAGCTACCTGTTGCTTCAAATCCAAACTCTGGTTTGGAGTTGTTGTGCGTCCCAGAAACTCTTAGCAGCTCCATCCCAGAAGCTGGTCCTTCCTTGGTTGTGCATTGTCACCACACAATCCCAGGAAAATGTGTCTTCCAGCTGGGGTACATAAAGTGCTTTCTCTAGGCACACGCAGTCAGCACTTCCCTGTTTTAAAATTTTTACTTCCCAGGGAAAGAGCCCTGGGAGAAAAAAAAACACCTAGTCCCACACAAATAGGGGAGATTTAGATATCCCTACCCATTCTGAAATTCCATTTTTGCTTGGAAGCCAAAACTTTGCAAATCCCCTAAGGAATGTTGTCTATCTGTGGGGTGGGTTTGTTTTTTGCTTCAACCTAGCCCTTTTTAAAAAAGAATTAACAAACTTGATTGATACAGCAAGAAGGAATGCCTTCCCCGAACTGACAGCATAATGCCCTCTTGAACCAAAAGTAGTTTTTTAAAGATGCCCCTTTTCTCTCCTTAAAGGTCGTTAAGCGTTCCTTTTTCAACCTGGAGGAACTCCAGATGGGGTGGACTTCAACTCCCAGAGTCGCCCCACAGCCCAGGAATTCTGGGAGTTGAAGTCCACAGACGGAAGTCACCTGAACTGTGAATATCTACTACCTTATAAAACATTTGCATTCTTTTTAGGAAGAAAACAGGGATCATGGGTGCAGGAGCTCTTATTTTCTCCACCGGGTGTCTTCTGATAGTGTTAAGACTACAACGGCAATCTTCCACAGCCATTAACGTAGCTCAGGGTGTTGTTGTTTTTTTTGAAGATTTAAAGGGCATTGGAAGATGCCATCACAGAACTGAGCTGTTTAGAAAAAGAGCATGTCATTTATGTGACTGTTTACCTCAAACCCATCTTCGGAGCAAAATAAACTCACCTCCAACAACTGGAAAATAATTTAGTTCGCTCAAAGCCAACCTTTCTCCATCGATTTATTTAGCGTGGAAATAAGCCTGTTGTTTTTTAAAATGAAGAACTGTGCCAGAGAGTGAGCCGACGTGAGAAAACAAATTCCTAATTATTCAAGGTTTGCCATCCTAAAATTACAAAAGGGACAAGAACAAAAAAAAAGGGGGGGAGGAGGAGAGGGAGACCCCCCTGTCTTTTTTGCTTATAAATTGGCGGGGGGGGGTGGAGGAGGAAGCAAATTCCGTTTAGCGTTTGCTAATTAGCAATCGAGATTAACATAGGGAGACAAACCTTAATGCTTCTTTGCCTATTGTGTGTTGTCAAAGCAAGGAAGGCACGACAAAAGACACAATCTGCTTGTTGGTTTCTCTCGCGGGACAGCTTCCGAAGAGATCCCAAGCTCGCTAACCGACGAAGGAATTTCTACAGAAGCGAACCCACAATCAAACCTGATAAGACACTCTGATCCCGTGATCACTTTTGTCTTTTCCGTGAAAAGAATTATTGCTTTTCTATCATGCCTCGTGGCATGGGGGCTTCAGGCCTTAATGCAATGCCTGTTGGCAGCGTTTTAGGAGTTAATGACAACTGGCAGGATTGGTTCAGGATTTAATTCAACACCTACTGGCCCGTCGCTGTTCATAGCTTCAGGTAGATGCCGCTGCGAACATTCGCAATGCCGGGATGACGTTTGTGAGCAGGATGGAGTCTTAAACCTGTCCAGGTGGTTCTCCCTGAACCAAAAACTCATTTCTGTTCGGTTGGTCCTGGGTTCTGCCTGCCTGGGCACCTTCCTACATTTGGGTAAAACCTGCCAAGTGGATCATTGGCGTACTAGCAGTCCTTACAGAAGCTGAACAACGAAGGGTGGGGAAAAATAAAGGAGTGGTGTCAAAGTTGCTTTACTTCACTGCAGTTTGTGCACCATGGAGACAAGAGAGCGAGCCATGTAGTTAGTGGATGCTTGGCGACCTCACCTGCCTTTTTGCCATTTCTAGCCAATCTCGACTGCTGGTGGAAGGTGGTATGACGACCATGCCGGGATGGGCGTCTTGTATTTTCGCCTGCTTGGCCATCATTGGCAAACGGGGCCGGTTTTCAGCCGTCTGTGCCAACTCCCATCCCAGCCTTTTGCCACAGCAGCCACAAGGACAAAATGGACAGGTTATCTACCAAAAAACAAACAAAAAAAAGGGCCAGGAAAAAATTTGCACGAATCTCCCATTGCCATAACTGCAAAGTTTAACAGTCCTTCCAGATACACCCGACGCTCGATGCCCAAAATCAAAAGGAAACGACCAATATATATATATATTTTTAAAAAATAGTAATAATAAAAATAGCCATCTTCTCTTGCGTGAGATTTCAGCCTCCTGGCTGGAGATCTCAAAGATCTCAGGACCGTTAAAGGAAAAATCTGGTTGAGGGGAAGCCGTAGAGAGCGCCGTGCCGCCAAGCCCAGGTTGAATGCATAGGAGAACTGGCTTTCTTGATAAGCCAAAGTTTAGATGATTGTTTGCGAGCGCTGGCGGAGGGCGGGAGGGTGGAAGGCCTGGTGGAGCAGCTCCTCGTCTTCGTGCCAAGGAAGCTCTCGTTCCTCTCTTCTGGAATGTTCTTCGTACCACTCCTGAGAACGGAAGACGGGCGTCACTGCGCTAAACCACCACGAGAATGCCCACCCCTCGGGAAAATGAAACAGGAGAGCCATGATATCAGGCAGGCCCCAAAAATGTTTGTGGCAGCCAAGCCAGGAATTAGAATAATGCAGGATACAGAGGAACAGAGTTGGAAGGGACCTTGGAGGTCCTCTAGTCCAACCCTTGCTCAAGCAGGAAATCCTTTTTACCATTTCAGACAAAGGGTTATCCAATCTCTTAAAAAATTCCACTGAAGGACCATCCGTAATTTCCAGTTAAGTCCTATCCTATCTTATCCTATCCTGTCCTATCCATCCCTATTCCCTTCTCTTCCCTCTCCTCCCCACTCCCATTCCATCCCCTCCCTTCCATTCCATTTGATTCCCTTCCCTTCCCTTCTATTCCATTCCAATTCATTCCATTCCATTTTCCTATTTTATTCTATTTCTATTATTCCTATTCAATTCTATTCCTATTTCTACTCCATTCCACTCCATATTTTCTGTTCTGTTCTGTTCTATTCCTTATTCTATTCTCCTATTTCTATTCCATTCCATTTCAATTCATTCCATTCCATATTTCCTATCCTATCCTATCCTATCCTATCCTATCCTATCCTTATCCCTATCCTATTCCTATTTCCATTCCATTCCATTCCATATTCATTCCATTCCATATTCATTCCATTTCATATATCCTATGCTGTCCTGTTCCGTTCTGTTCTATTCCTTATTCTATTCTCCTGTTTCTATTCCATTCTATTCCAATTCATTCCATTCCATATTTTCTATCCTATCCTATCCTATCCTATCCTATCCTATCCTATCCTATCCTATCCTATCCTATCCTATCCTATCTTTATCCCTATCCCTATCCCTATTTCCATTCCATTCCATATTAATTCCATTCCATATATCCTATGCTGTCCTGTTCTGTCCTGTTCTGTTCTGTCCCATCCCATCCCAGGCAGTCCATGTAGCCATCTTGGTACCCAATGCATAGACTGCTCTTCAGTTCCCCACCCCAAAATTACGGGCCAAAGCATCCTCTGCGCCACTGATCTCCAGAGAGAGCTCCAGGCCTTATCACCTCCCCAGCTCGCGCCAACCTACCTGTATCTCCTCTTCGTACATTTTCATACTTAAATCACTTTTGGTCCTCGATCGGCGGCCCAGGAACAGCATGGCGGCTTGCTAGAGCCGTGAGAGATATAAAACGGTGAGAAGGACATTTCGCCTCAGTTAGATAGGAGGTTGTTTTATTTTCTATCCTGAGTCCCCAGTCTCCTCAACTCACCCGGTGCCGGTCCATCTGGGAAACGACCTTGAGGAGTTGACTAGCTGCCAAGTTGTCACCTTGCCTCCCGTAGGTCTCGGCGAGGCCCCTGATTTCTTCCTTGGAGACCTCCCGCTCAAAGACAATCCCGCTGTCTTCTGCTGGAGGGGAAAAAACAACAATGGCCAGGAATCTTGGAGTAACAGGAAGAGAAAGAGCTACCAAAAACGTCCAGATCTGGTGTTTTGCTAGTCACCATTCCCTGGAACGCCCATGGACATCCTCCATCATCGAGGTGATAGTTGTCCCAAAGGTGAGTTTTAGATGAGACAGAATGTTACAAGATACGGAATAAATTTTATCAAACGTTGGGAACAGAAACGGGGGACTCAAATAATAATAATAATAAAAAAATGAGTATGATTTGTAGAATGGGTAAATGAGGCTATATAGTAAATGCAGTGGAATATGACGGATAAGATAACGGATATAAGTTAACTGTACAAATGTATGCATGTATATAAGACATGTATCATATATTATAGTATGTAGGTCACCGTGTCCAATGTTTTAATAATTCAATCAATAAAATATTTTTTTTAAAAAAAAAAACATCAGGACTGGATTCAGCAGTCCATCTGCATTTCAAAGACAAAAGCCGCTCTTTTGAAGACAGGCAAGTCCACATTTTGGACAGAGATTCTCCCTGGTTTGAAAGAGGGGTCAAAAGAGGCCATGTAGGTCAAAAATGAACAGCCCTCTCTTAATAGAAAGGATATGACCTCATCTGTCTCCAGTCTACAACACAACAGGACTGAGAAGGTCGAGGACACAGATAAAACCTCCAAGTGGCCTCAACAACCCTCTAAAACAAGGCCCTTCAAACTTGGCGAAGTTTAAGACTTGTGGGCTTCAACTCCCAGAATTCCTGAGCTAACATGACTGGAGGAGAAGGGATTCTGGGAGTTGAAGTCTACAAGTCTTCAAGCTGTTAAGTTTGAAGACCCCCTGCTCTAAAAAGGATGCAAATGACCAGCCAGGAGTATAAATCCTTCCATTCTCTACCATCCAGTCAGAGCTGAAGAAGCTGCTTGGATGAGAAGCGAAACATCTTCAAAGAAAAAAACAGAAAGTCCAGTTGCTTCTTGAAAAAAGCACTTTGGGGGCAACTGAGGACATAGATAAACCTCCAAGTGGCCTCAACGACTCTTTAAAAAGGATGCAAATGACCAGCTGTCTGCAAGGAGTATAAACCCTTCCATTCTCCACCATCCAGTCAGAGCTGAAGAAGGTTCTCGGATGAAGAAGCGAAACGTCTTCTACAGAAAAACCAGAAACTCCAGAGTTGCTTCTTAAAAAAGCACCTTTGGGACACTCCCTGGAATTCTTTCACAACAGCTTCTTTGGTTTTTCTAGAGTAAAATCGTTCCAGATGTTCCCTAGATCCTCGACTCTAATCTTAAGCCTACCAGGGAGGAAGACGGATAGGAAGGATGATGATATGATACAGCAGAGAGCAAAATATCACCCACGCACCTTCTGAATCCTGATTCTTGCGGGCATAATTCATGCGGAACACAAACGCTTCCAGTATAAAAGCAACTATAATTGTCATCACCACCTGGGGGGTGGGAAAAATAAAAGTATTTTATAGGATGTACAGGAATCTTCCTTAATTATCTTTTTCCCCCCTATCTGTATTGCTCTTTGCACGTTCCCTTATCTTTTTCTTAACTTTTCTTTACATACTCTCACATTTTTTTTTCTTTTACTTCCATAGAAGTTTCCAATAAAAACATACAAAACAAACAATCGACACACACACACACAAAAAGGATAGGATTGCAACCGTCATCTAAATGTGGATCTCATGACGGAAGGATCTTGTTCGATTTACTCACCATGGTCACGATGTAGAAAATCATGAAATAAAGACGACTCCAGTGAGACGTTTCTGAGGTCACCCCTTCCTTAAAAATAAACAGGAAAATGAAATCTCTTAAACGGTTGGTGGTGGATGGAAACCATAAATGCAATCTCCCAATACTCTAGCATCTAAAATATCATCCATCCATCCATCCATTGATCTAATGCATTTATATATCTATCTGTGTCATCCATCCATCTATCCATCCACCCACTTACCTATCTATATCTTTCTCGGTCTCTCTCATCTATACCTATCTGTATCTATCTATCCTACCTTCTTATCTATTCGTCTCTTTCAATTTTCTGTCTGTCTGTTTGTCTGTCTGTCTGTCTATCTATCTATCTATCTATCTATCTATCTATCTATCTATCTATCTATCTATCTATCTATCTATCTATCTATCTATCATATATCCCTCCCCCTCTCCCCCCTCTGCATTTTCTTAGCTATCAGTAGTGTTCAGTAGTGTTGTGGCCCGCCTTGGACAGTGAGGAGGTTGTGGGGGGGATGTGGGTCAGTCTTGGAGTCTCGGGAAGGCTCTGACGAGGGCTCTGCGTCGGAGGCAGAGATGGGGACAGGGCCTTCTGACAGTTATTAGCTGCTTTTGGAGTCAGAGATGAGTGGGGAAGAAGAACAGCTGGAGCCTGTTCCCAGTGTGCGCATGTGCAGAGCTGCTAGAAGAAGGGAACAGCTAAGGAATAAGGGTTGACTCGGGAGTAAGGGCACAGGTGGATGGTGAATGGCACCTCCCTTAAGGAATAAAGAGGAGCAAAAGGGGTTTTTGCAGGAGACAATAAGTTCAATTCATGAGAGTGAAGATCTGTTCCTGGCTTCTTGCCAAGTTATTGCTGTTACAGCATGGCGTTTGGAAGCTATCGGCCTGGCAACTCCCCATGCTTGACAAAGGTCTGTAATAGTGAAATCTCATGAAAGACTGTCAGCCAAGACTTTGCTGGAGAGGAATTCACTTTAACCTAAATAAAAGGGATTTTATCGGGACGAAGAGTCGGCTTCACGATCTTGGGAAGGTCTAGGTCAGAACGCTGACCATTCCTCGCTTTGGCTTATTCATTGCAATATCGTGGAACCGAAAGGACCCGAAAGATGGTGGTTATTTAGGTTGACATGCAGTTACACCAACACACAAGGGGGGGTTTCTGTAGACTTACCATGATGATGTACCAATCGTTGACTACCGTTAACTCAAAGAGGGTCACTGCATTAAAAACAGTAAAGGGGAAGAGATCAGAAACAGGGAACAATTCAAGGACCCCTGAAGGTCATTCGCAAACTTCAAGTGGTAGTAAAAGAGCCCTGGTGGTCCAGTGGTTAGAATGCAGTATTGCGGGCTAATTCTGCCCATTGGCAGCAGTGCGATCCTAACCGGCTCAAGGTCGACTCAGTCTTCCTTCCTTCCGAGGTGGGTAAAATGAGGACCCAGATTGTTGGGGGCAAGAGGCTGACTCTGTAAAACCATTTAGAGAGGGCGACTGTGAAGAGGTATATAAGTCTAAGCGCTACTGCGATTGTTTTTGGGGGAAGTTTCTATTGCTTTTATCATTTTAAAACATTTTTTAAAGTGTTTGGACTGTAATAGATTCTTGGCATCATAAGCCTTCCCTGTGTCTTTGATCGAGACGGGCGGCTATAGAAGCAGAAGAAAAGAAAGAAAGAAAGAAAGAAAGAAAGAAAGAGAGAGAGAGAGAGAGAGAGAGAGAGAGAGAGAGAGAGAGAAAGAAAGAAAAAAAACAGAGAATGTCTTTCCCACAGACCCGCAAGTTGATGTTTGAAAAAGGAGGGTGGGTGTTTGCGCTGGAGCTCTTACCGAAACTGTTCAAAATGTTGTCGAAGTTGTTGAGATAATAGTAGCCTTGGTCCACCACAGTCTTGTTCCCAATGGTGCGGTTGACCCAACGAAAGGCATCGGCCACCGTGCTGGTGCTGGATGAGAAAAGAACGAACAAACGAACAAAGAGAGAGAGAGAGGTGGCCCCGGGTTCAAAAATCTGTTTCTACAATGGTCAGATAAAAAAGACTGCACAGCGGGACCCTCCCAAGTTTCTTGGGCTGTAAAGAAGACAGAGTGTCAACTCATAAAACACTCCTCTGCTTATACCACCCAGCTCAGAGAGCACCAAGGACACCAGACCACAAGATGTTGTCGAAAACTAGTTCCTATCATCTCTGGCTGAGATTTTTTTTAAAAGTTAGCAGCTAAACAACTCAGCAAACAGAGGTTGACCCTTCAGTTTTGATATAGCAAGCTACACTGATCTATGGGCCAATTGAATTGATGTATATATTTTCAGAGAGAAGGAACTTGGAGATACTTACTTACAACAGTTTGGATAGAGTTTGCCCGAGAAGAATTCCATGCCAATTATGGCAAAGCAGTAGTAGAAGATGAGTAAAGTTAGGCCTAGGCTAGAAGAGAAAGGAAAAGGATTTGGAAAAGTGCGGTTCAACGAGGTGGCTTTTTAACACAGTTGGAAGGGGCCCTGGAGGTCTTCTAGTCCAACCCCCTGCTCAAGCAGGAAACCTTATATCATCCTGGACAAACGGCTGCCCCGTCACTTCTTGAAAACCTCCAGTGATGGAGGCAAATTGTTTCACTGGTTGATTGTTCTGTTAGGAAAGTTCTCCTAGGTTGATTCTCTCCTGGACTGGTTTCCATCCGTTACTTCTTGTCCTGTCCTCTGGTGATTTGGATATTATGTCAACCTTCTCTACTCAAATATTGGATGACTGCTATCACGTCACCCCTAGTATGCATGTATATAGCATACTGTCTTTTCCCCAAAATAAGCCCTAGCACTTTTGTTGGAGGCCCCCAAAAATTATAAGACCGGGTTTTATTTTTGGGGAAACACGGTGTCCATCTGCACCTCTATAACTGTCTGGTTTGGTTCTGCAACCCAACAGGACAGACAGAGACTTGAGAGAGTAATAAGGACTGCAGAAAAAACAATGGCTACCAACCTGCCTACAATCGAGGACCCGTATACTGCATGAGTCAAAAAGAGGGCTGGGAAAATGTCTATAGACCCCTCACATCCTGGACATAAATTGTTTCAACTCCTACCCTCAAAACGATACTATAGAGCATTGCACACCAGAACAACTAGACACAAGGACAGTTTTTTCCCGAATGCCATCACTCCGCTAAACAAATAATTCCCTCAGCAATGTTCAACTATTTACAAAGTCTGCACTACTATCACTATTAATCTTCTCATCACTCCTGATCACCCATCCACTCCCACTTGTGACTGTATGACTGTAACTTTGTCGCTTGTATCCTTACGGTTTATATTAACTGTTTCCTAGTGTGACTTGATTGCTTATTGTACCCTATGACTATTATTGACTATTGTACCTTATGATTCTTGACTCTTGCCGAATGTATTTTTTCTTTTATGTACACTGAGAGCATTTGCACCAAGACAAATTCCTTGTGTGTCCAATCTCACATGGCCAATAAAAAATTCTATTCTGTTCTATAGCATATCAATATATGTGTTGTGTATGCGTACACTTTTGAAAGCAGGGCACATAATTTCATTTTTAATGTGTGCCAGAGTGAGTCCCACAGGAAAAAAAAATGGCAATGAAGGTTACCTTATCTATTTTATCCTAGGCCTTATCTTCTTTTGATTAAACAATCCCACTTCCTGCAGACATTCAACGCACACAACTGCCCAAGCTGGAGACTTTCTATCATTCTGGACAAATGGCTGTCAAATCTCTTCTTAAAAACGTCCAGTGTTGGAGCACTAGGTCGCAACAATGAGGATAATGAGGGGAGTTCTAGTCCTGCAACTTTAATAAAAACATGTAGACTTCCATTCCTCAGCAGCCAATCCAGGCAGGAACCTTTCATTCTCTCTCTACCTGGCCATCCTTGGAAGGAGTTCAAACATCGTATCCAAGACATTCCGGTAGCGTTTCTTCAATTTAAACAGCCTGCAATAAGAGAAAGGAAACAAAATAATAATAATAATAATAATGCATGACTCTCTAGAGAGAAGTGTTTTCCAACCTCGGCAACTTGAAAATATGTGGACTTCCAAAACTCCTCCTCTGTCAGCCTGCTTTAAGATGGGAGGTCTTGTATTCCCAGAATTCTCCAGGTAGCATGCTTTAAGATATGTGGGCTTCCATCTTGAGAAGGAATCATAACAGGAGGAGGCAGAGGAGAGCAGGAAGAGGAGGAGGAGGAGAAGTAGGAAGAAGAGGAGAAGTAGGAAGAAGAGGAGAAGTAGAATATGAAGAGGAGGAGGGGGAGGAAGAAGAGGAGGAGAAGGAGAAGGAGGAGGAGGAGGAGGAGGAGGAGGAGGAGGAGAAGAAGAAGAAGAAGAAGAAGAAGAAGAAGAAGAAGAAGAAGAAGCTGATGATGATTGCCACTCGGGGTCAAAGAACAAGGGATTCTGGGACTTGTAGTTTCTCAATAGCTAGAAGACACACACACACACACACACTGGACTACAGGGATCTGGTACCCATCCTGCATCTTCACCTGAGTAACTGCAGAGGCCGCAGCACAACAATGAAGTAGAAGGGTTCCATGTCGAACGCCAGTGTCAGGAGACCCAAAAACGCGAACAAAGTGACGGCAAAATCAAAACTGGGGAAAAAAAGGCGCAAGAGAGAGAAGTGGATTTTTTGGGGGTGCCATCTTGCAAGTCCTCAATGTGAAACCCCGTAAGTGGGGAGATACTTACAGATTCCAGCCAGACGAGAGATACTCTTTCGGCCCCAGGCCAGTAACCTTCAACAGCACCTCGACCCCATAGACTGTCAACGCAGAAGGGAAAGTGCTGGGATCGTGATTTTTTTAATCGCCGTACAATTTCTATTAAGGTTTATTTTGCACACGTATTTATGCATTTGCAAGAAACCATCAAAGGCCCTGCAATTCAACCCTGAGCTACAGATATTCTCTCTTCTATCAGTACCCCAATGTATTGTCGTCGTTTAATGACCCCATAATCCTTTGCGGGGTGGAGTCGGGGCAAATGAAAGGACCTGAGTGTTTACTGGCCGGATGCCCTTCCTGTCACCAGGGTGGAGTTTTGTTCAGCAGATATATTCTCATTGCATCCACAGAGAGAAGTATCTGCCTCTACCCAGGATCGAACTCACGGCCTCCTGATTGTGAAGCCAGAGTTCCACCTCCAGGCCACCGTGCCACTCCGTACCCCAATGTATTGTACTCCATTTATTCTTTCCTTCCAATGTCTCCACATTTTTATTCTCTAAAGATGCCTCCAGGCGCCATTTTAGAAGCCAAAGTTCTGGGGTGGGATTCAATGTTTTTAAGAACTGGTTCTGTTGGCATGGCCTAGTGGGTGGGCGTGGCTTGGTGGTCATGTGACTGGCTGGGCGTGGCCAACTCAATATCCCTCACATCGAGGCACCCATCTCCTCACCTGGCCTCTCATGACTGTGGGGGAATGCTGCAACAGTCGTAAGTGTGAAAAATTGTCATAAGTCACTTTTTTCAGTGCCATTGTAACTTTGAATGGTCCCTCCACACAAGTAAAGTATTAGCAAAGGAGGGGAAAAAAAACTCCAGAGAAGTTCCTGAGACCGGAAGTCTAATCCTGCCAAGAATGTAATAAGGATTAACGGAGAGGCAGTTTCTGTAAGCAACACCAGAATGTTTCCTTCCTGCCTTCCTTACAGGATTAGCCCAGTCATTTCTTCTAACAACCGGTTCTCCGAACTGCTCAGAACGTTAACAACCGGTTCTAGCGAATAGGTGTGAACTGGTAGAATCCCACCCTTGGCCCAAAGTTGCTAAAGAACTTACTTGTGAGGAACATGATGTAACTCCAGGGGACGTCTCGAGAAAAGATTCCGTCTGAAAAAGAAACAGTGGGGCGTTTCAGAGAACAACTGAAAACCAGTCAGAAGGAAGGGAAGGTGGACTCAAGTCAGCAGACATTCAATTACGTTGTGTCGTACCTCGCAACATGAAGGTTTCCACTAGAATCCAGAGTCCATTCACGGCCACCAAAATATCTGCGAGACACAATGGAAAACGAGTGTTTTTTTAAACAAAACGCTCCGTGGGACCAACATGCGTTGGCGAGATGCTCCGGTGGAATCCAACCTTTGGGTCAATGGGCCTTTAGCAACATTTACCCTCCTCCCGCACATTTAAGGCTCATGCTGCAGCTGACGTCAGATTAATTCCCGTCAAGACAATCCTTGCCTTTGTTGGGTTTCCAATTGAAAAGCGACAGCACAAAAAAGGTGAAGTGGCCAAAGGGAAAAAAAATACAACTCTTTGAGGTTCACTCTTCGGGATTAAGTTTGGACATTTCAATTGGCTGGACCAACCTGGATTTGTTGCAACTCGGGACTGAAATTGCGTGGCAGGGATCGACTGCGGTGGAATATAGCCTGGATTCCCAGGAGGGAGGGGCTGCACTCCCGGAGGACCAAGGGACAGCACAGCTTAAGAGAGTTTGTGTGTGAGAAAGGAGGCGAAGACGGCTCCTCCTTAGTAGTTCCCAAAGGGTATGTTCAACGGCGCATGTGGTCTGCTTCAGTTTGGCAAGATTTCTGTCTACAGGTGAGGAACCATAAAGACAACGGCTTGGAAGTACGGGTACTCCTTGGCTTACAACCACAACTGAGCGAGCCCCAAGTTTCTGCTGCTAATTTTGATCTTGTGACCCTTGGGGTTGCTGCAACGGTCGTCAAGTGTGAAAAACGGCCATAGGTCACTTTTTTCAGTGCCGTTGTAACTTCAGTCACTAAGCGAACTCTTGTAAGCTGAGGGCTACCTCTAACCTATGGGTGTCAGGATTCCGGCAGTTGCCCCCAATTAAATCACGGGTCTCGAGCCAAACTTCCATAAGTTCAAAAGGATTTATTGGGAGTTAACGTGCCGGCACTGCCTGGGTGTAGCTGACTCTGAGCCGCATCATTGACCCTGGTTTTGCCCCCACCCCCCTGGGTGTATCATAATTCATATTCTCCAATGGGACACATCCACAGCCCAGAGTCATCAATCATGTTCTCCGGTTAGAATTTTGCTTAGCAGAAACTTCGGTCACCTAGTTACTATCTTTGAAAAACTATTTATGGAATTCACTTTCGATTTCCAAGCTGCCGCACTGCTCCCCTGCCTCTCCCTTTCTGTTGGCCACTCTAAAAAAGACCATAGAAATATTTTTATGAGTTGACATTGGGTCTTTCTTGATCCTGGGAGCCTAATAATAAGGTCAACTTTGAAGTCGATCAGCATATTGGTAAAATGAAACTCCACTTAATACGTGGCAGAATTCTATCCGTTAGCCCCTCACCCTCCACCCCAAACAGAGTGAAGAGTGACTTACACATGCCATACTGGAAAGCCCGAGAATTCACTAATATGTTAATGCCTGTTGAAAGGAAAAAGAGACAAGGCAAAAGAATTAAATGCTTTTTTCTTTTTTCGGACATCCTTCTCGACGTTTTCTTGGAAATACCCCAGGCTGCTATTTTCTCCCTTTTTTCTCTTTGCCTTATTCTGCAAAGCCCCTGAGGGCAGGACAAGAAGAAGTCATGGATGGAAACATATCAAGAAGGGAATCCAACCTCGAAATAGAGAAGAATTTCCGGACCGAGAGAACCATCCATCACCGGGATGGCTTCCCTCCAGGAGTTGTGAGTTCTCCATCCCAGGAAGAGACTGGAACCACCCTTTGCCAGGGATGGTAGAGGGGGGCCTTTCTTGGGCAGGGGGTTGGACTAGAAGACCTCCGAGGTCCCTCCCAGCCCTGTGATTCTATAGTTCTATAGAAACACAGAGTTTTTTCACCTTTAAAAATGAGGAAAGCCGTCCCTGGAAGATCGTCAAACCAATGTTCTCGGTTCCTTTTGGCCTGGAAAAGAAAGCGAGCAAACCTCAGTCAGCTTTGGTTCATTTTCATGACTGGGCTGGAAGATCTTTAAGATCCCTTCTCCCTCCAGGATTGATTGATTCCTTCCTTCCTTCCTTCCTTCCTTCCTTCCTTCTTTCCTTCCTTCCTCCCTCCCTCCCTCCCTCCCTTCCTTCTTCCTTTCCGTCCTCCCTTCCTTTTCTTCCTTCCACCCTTCCTTCCCTCCTCTCTCTGCCTCCCTCCTTCCTTCTTTCCTTTATTTCTTCCTTTGTTCCTCCCTCCCTCCCTTTCTTTCCTCCCTCTCTCTCACCCCTTCCTTCCTTCCTTTCCTTCTTCCTTCCTTCTTTCCTTCCTTCTCCCTTCCCTTCCCTCCTCTCTTCCTTCCTTTTCCTTCCCTCCGTCCTTCTTTCCTCCCTCCCTCTTTCCCCTCCTCTCTCCTTCCTTCCCCTATTTCTTCTTTTGTCCCTCTCTTCCTCTTTCCCCGCCTCTCTCCTTCCTTCCTTCCTTCCTTCCTTCCTTCCTTCCTTCCTTCCTTCCTTCCTTCCTTCCTTCCTTCCTCCCTCCCTCCCTCCCTCCCTCCCTCTCTCCCACCCCTTCCATCCATCTATCCATCTATCCATCCATCCATCCATCCATCCATCAATCTCCCCAGCGTTGGTTCTCCACAAGGGTGTCCCTTTTGTTCTTCCTCATCCTAGAGCAGAGGTCTCCAAACTCAGCAACTTTTAAGACTTGTGGACTTCAACTCCCAGAAATTCTCCAGCCAGCTATGCTACGCTGGCTGGAGAATTCTGGGAGTTGAAGTCCACAAGTCTTAAAGTTGCCAAGTTTGGGGACCTCTGCCCTAGGGGCTCACTTCCCATCCAGCACCCCTAAACCAAAGACACCCATACAGCCCCAAACTGACGGCTTACCTTCCATTTCAAACCAGCCACTTCGTAGAAACTGTACATATCCTTCAAACTGAAACAGACAAAGAGGTGTGTGTGTGTGTGTGTGTGTGAGACTTTTCTACCCACGTTCCATTCTCCCGTTCAAACACGTCTTCAGATTTTGCCAACCGGATCCCCAAACCCAACCCCAACCCCCACCCCCCAGTTCAAGAATGAAAGGGCTCAGTCCCATTTTTAAAAGTCTGAGCAAAAGTTTGCAACAACCCACGTCACGCGAGGCGTTTCTGCACGCCGACTCAGCTGAGAGAGAGAGAGAGATAGAGAGAGAGAGAAAGAGAGAGAGATAAAAATAAGAATTGTTGCATGACTAGATGTGCTGATGGGAGCTTGCAAAAGAAAAAAGAAAAAAAAGAAAGGGAGGCAAATCATCCTCCAAGCGAAGATTTCGTTCCTTTTGTAAGAGCATTTCACTGCTAGGAAAAAAAGAAAGAAAGATCCTTACTATAAAACGTGTTAAACGCTTGGCATGCAAGACTGCTAGATGCTCACACTGTCATTAGAATGCCTTCACACACACACACACACACACTGGGAGTCGAGGGTTTTTCTTCCCTTAAGGGATCAGACTAGGGCAGGTCTGACACCTTAAGTTTTGAAATTTGTAATTTGGGGAAAATTGTAATTTGTTTGAGGAAATTTGTAATTTGTTTGGGGAAAAGAAAGCTTCCGATTCTTTCCATCTTCTTCCATGGGGCAGCGGGGAAAACCCATGTCCATCCTTACCTGACCAAAGGGCCGTTGCTTTGACTCAGTGCTTTGAAAGTCAGATAACGGTCTCGAACGCTCATCCGGGGCGCGTAGAAGTGCATCAGGCCGTCAAATTGCTTGAAAGCAACCCCAGAGGGACTCTAGAGACAAAAGAAAGAAGTTACGCGGAGGACGTACAGCCTCACAAGAGTTTGTTTATTGCCATTAAAACGGCCCTGGAAAAAGGTATGACCGTTTTTTCACACCTATGACCATTGCACCCTGGCCACCCGATCGAAAATTCGGACGCTATTCTATCCAGGACCACCTTACCTGTTTGCTAACCAGCAGGTGGTAGGCGTGCTGGACAGCCGTGCGCTTGTGAAGCAAGAGTGACCGGAACTTCATTTTTTCAATGTCATTGAAGGTGTCAAAAACGACAGCCAGGAGCTACGGGAGGGGAAAAAAGGGTGAAGCAAAAATCAAGATCAATGTCAAACTGACAGGAAGGAAATTCCAAAGCCAGGTTAGAAGGCATGACTTCACAGGGAAGAGGAGTGGAAAGTTGGAAGCAACTCCCAGCGGAGCTAATGGGTTAATTATGAGTTCACAGTAGGACTGTAACTTTTCCACTTGTATCCTTACGATTTATATGGACTGTTTCCTAGTACGATTTGATGGCTTATTGTACCCTATGACTATCATTAAGTGTTGGATCTTATGATTCTTGACTCTTGACGGATGTATCTTTTCTTTTATGTACACAGAGAGCATTTTATTTTATATTGCCGCCTATTCGCCTACGGCAACTCAAGGCAGCTTACACAATGTAAAGCCATATTTAAAATAAAAAATAAAAACAATAAAAACTAACAGAAAGAATCAAATAAATTAGTAAAGTACAATAGAACAAAATGTGGGGGAAAAAAATCAAAAAATCAAAAATCTGCATCAAGACAAATTCCTTGTGTATCCAATCACACTTGGCCAATAAAGAATTCTGTTCTGTTCTGTTGTTCTGTTCTGTTCTAATCTACTCTATTCTATTCCTATTGTACCCTATGACTATTATTAAGAGTTGTACCTGATGGTTCTTGACTCTTGACTAATGTATTTTTTCTTTTATGTACACCAAGAGCATTTGCGCTAAGACAAATTCCTTGTTTGTCCAATCACACTTGGCCAATAAAAAGAATTCTAATTCTAATTCTAAACATGCTTGGGAGATAAAGACGTGTCCATTCCTCTGACAAAAATTTAAAAAAATAAATAAAATAAAAATAAAATAGTAAGAGCTCCCATCAGTGTCTTCCAGTGATCAGGAGCAGTCTTAATCTGGGAGGATCCATTCTTCACATCAAAGGAGTCCATATACTACATGTTTTAACAGCAGCTAGAATTGTATTTTCCCTCAAACTGGAAGAGTGATAAGATACCAATCGAGGGGAAAATAATTGAAAAAATATTTGAATGCGCAGAAATGAATAAGACCGACGCTAGAAATTAAAGAAAAAGGACAATCTGAAGATTATATGTTATGGGATTTGTTTTATCAATGGATAGAAAATAGAATAAATTAAAAGGAATCAGATATACCCATAGAGCAATAAGAGAAACGAATGTAATAGATGTATTGGATTTCATTTATATTATATCTATGGGAATGTGATTATTGCTATCTTGTTATTTTGATAAGAATTAATAATGATTAATTGAAATATGTACCTAATCGACACATGATTGAAATGGAATGGAATTTTTGTGTGTATGTATGTATGTATGTATGTTATTTAGGTTTCTTTGGGTATTTTCCCACATCTTAATATTTGTGCTTTTTATTGTAGAGATGTTTTGGCAGAATCTCATCTGTCATCCTCAGGCTTGTGTATTGGGTTCTTTTTAATCGGTGTGTGTTAGGCTTGGCAGCACACACGATTGACACACACGGTTAAAAAGAACCCAATACACAAGCCTGAGGATGACAGATGAGATTCCCTACGTCCAGCTGGGAAACTCCTTCTTTGAGTTGGCCTTTTAGCATCTCTCCTCCTCTTTTCCCCACAACAACAACCTTGTGAGGTGGGCTAGGCTAAGAAGGAGGCCCAAAGTCACCTAGCTGGCTTAGCTTTCGTGGCTAAGGTGGGACTAGAACTCCCCGTCTCCTGGTGATCGGCCCAAAGTCACCCAACTGGCTTCTTTGCCTAAGGCAGAATTAGAACTCACATCTCCTGCTTCCTAACCTGGTGCCTTAGCCACTAGACCAAAACTGGCTCCCTCGCAGATGTGCAAAAGAAACAATCAGGCATAACAGCAAAGGTGCTGAAGACTCGGCTTGAAATCAGGAGAAAAAAAATCACCAAAGGCTGGAGATTCTACTTACCAAATTCATAATGAAATACAACTCGATTGAAAGATACACAATGAAAAAGACACAGGACCACGGGTTTCGGGAATAAGAAGGCATCATCACATCGGGAAAACTGTTCCGAAAGAAAGAGAGACGAAAAGAGAAGCAAGCTGGAATGAAGGAGAAACTTCCTACCAATAAGGACAATTAATAAGAATGAACCAAGAATGAATAGAATAGAATAAAATAAAGAAGGAAATAGAATAGAATAAGAATTTAGAATAGAATAGAACCGAAAATGAATAGAACAGAATAAAGAAGGAAGGAGAATAGAATAAGAATTTAGAATAGAATAGAACCGAAAATGAATAG